GATCACTTGGAAAATGTGGCAATGTCGACTTTTTTATTAACGCTTAAGCTGTAAAGGTTTTTCTTCTGCACCAGTAAAAAACTTACTGCAACGAAAATAAATCAAAGTATTGAAAATCTTGGTCTAAAGAATCCGGTGTAGATGAATGGTTGCTAAATAATATTCATGCTTACTTATTTTCTCTGTTAATGCAAGGATCTGAATAATTTGTTTGAATAAAAAATAAATTTCACATTTACGTTTACATATTCTTTTTTTTATACACTCGACTCTTAATCAAGCGTGACGGTTTTTCAGAAAGTTAATGAGCTAAAACTGGAAAAAGATAGACACCCAGTATTGACACCGTTTAATAGAGAATTTCTGCCCCTGCCAGTGTGAGGATTTCCATATACTCTACATTTTTTATCAATTTTTGGCCGCTTTTCCAGTACACGCCTCACTACTGCTTATTTTTCACTGTAAAGTATAAAAAAGTATTTTTCAAAATAAGCAGATTAAGAATTATAATCTTTCTCATACTTTTCTCTGTACATTTTTAAAATTTTTCTGTCTCGTTTTGTTTTATTTGTGTTAATATTAGCAGCGGATTTGTTAATTTTTGGCATTTTCCTCAACAATCAAGACTTTTACGTCAAGGAATTTGATGAAATTTCGTAGTTTATAAGTTCAGTTAAAACCGTTTTTGGACATTAGCTCTTCGTATCAGGTAAGCTCTTGGCAACATTTCGAAACTGAGAAAAATGCGCTTTGTGAACTTTTTTTGTGGTTTCTTCATCTAATATGATGTTTTTCGAGTCATGCGAAATTTTTGGCAGATGAGAACTTAAGGGCTTATAGACCCTAAGGAGAAAATTTGAATTTATTGAAGCGACTGGACATTTTTTTTGCAATCAATAACAAATCTTTAATTGAGATAAACCAGTTTTTTTTGGAACGTTGAATTTTAAAGCCATGAAACAACGGACTTATTTTAATGAAATTGTTATTAGCACTTTCAGAAAAAAAATATTCTAAATTGAAAATAGTCTAGTCTAAATCTATACCTATAGGAAATTCTAATCAGTTTTATTTAATAGAGAAAGCTTTGCTCTATTCATGCGGCAATTTGCAACACGTTTCTATTAGTTTTTTTCATTTTAAGCAAACTTAATAAAACGCGACTAGGAAATGGAATTCAGGATTTTGACAAACATTTGTTAGCTAAAATTCGAAACGATAAACGCTCGATCTTAACTCCGTTTAATAGAGAAATGATTCGGCGGTAAGTGGAATTGGAAGAGGAAATGTTGCAAAAAAATTTTGCGTATTTTTCAATACAATATCATCACTATTTGACTATGATTCATCACGATTGTTTAACAAAAATGTATTCAAAACTGAAAATTGCGATAAAATTAAAATAAGTTTGATTTGATGGATAAAACGTTGCTCTAATCGGGCTCCGATTTGCGACATTTTCGTTTAGTTTCTGGAATTTTTTGCAATTTTGTATAACGCGACGCAAGTCAAGAGAGTGGGCGACATTTTGCAGAAAAATCTTGCTAGCTTTGGATCACACAAGAAAGCAGAACTTACTTAATTCTCTGTATATCTCTGTTTAATTTTTTAAAGTAAAAAATCTAACAAAACTGTGCAGTTGGATCCAACTGTCCTGGATTGAAAGAAAGACATTTAAATTAAACATGGAATTAAAGATGTAGATACAAAACAAAGTGACACATTTAGACACAAGCTTGAGGTACAATATTAGAGATAAATTTAGAGGATAAAGAATAGGATCACATTCAAGCTTTCAAGAATAGGGAGCAAGGGTTCAAGAATAGGGAGATCAGGCCAGTCATAGAAAAAAAACTTTTTGCTTTGTTTGCATTGAAATATGCACATATCTGGGCGCTATGCTGACTATTCTAACGTTGGTTACTAAAGCAGTTAATTTTTGGAGGCATAAAAAAAATATAAGAGACTAGAAAAATTCAGGCTATCGGCTGTTCTGTTCTACAACCGAAAACGGTTGGCAATTTGAAAACAACTGGCAATCGGATAATAATCTTTGGCTCCTATTAAAAAAACTTACTTGTGTTAATTGAAATTTAGACATCCGGTATATAGAAAGAAAATGGACCCTGTCCATCAACCCAAGAAAATATTTATTTGTTCACCTTTCTGACCCTCAAAAAATGAGAACAGGAGTGGCACGGGCTACTCTTTGCCAGTAGATGACATAAAAGAACCCCATCAAACCCTTAAAAGGTCTTAAAGGTTATTCCTTCCCAAAGGTTAGCGTGTGTGATACAAACAGGGCGTGATTTTTGGGCATTGAACCAAATAAAATTAATGAACTTGTATTAAAGGAATCATGTGGTGGTTTGGATTGTTCCGTGCAATTAACGGTTTGATTGAACAGGATTGTTTTGTGTTCTAATCACATTAATAAATAATACTGTTTTATATTTCAGCAACTGACAAAAATTACGGAATTTTAAATTGAAGATTCACAAAAAATCTAAACACAGTAAAACTGAAAGCGGGCACTAAAATGATCACTTTATCAATAAAAACATTGCTCCCCATCATCTATTTAATTTGAAAATTATCTTTTAAAGTTTGAAAGTATAAGGTTTCTTAAACAGCTAACTTATTTTATGGATTTACACATCATACAATTTGAAAAATGTTATCAAGTACCTTTATTCATCTAGTTTTTCGTCAAGTTTTGTATTCAATCAAAAAAAACTTAACCAGAAGAAGAAACAGTTTTTCGCTTTATTTGTTCTTCAATTTGTATCTTTTAATATTTAATAGATCCACTGCCGCACTCATATCTATTTAATATTTTATGATGAGTAGAGATAAATAAGATTTTTTTCAGAAAATAGTTTAATTTCACCAACCAAAAAAGAAAATTTTTTTTAATGTAATTCATAGCAACGCGCAAACATATTCAACGTTGAGTACATTGTCTATACTGTTTTTCCAAAATCCTGATATTAAAAATATTTCCTCGTTATACTCTCTAAAAAATCTTCCCCACGAAAGAAGTGTACGTGTAGAAAGCACTCAGCTCAAACATATAGCCATATAAGCCCGTATAGTTCGAAAATTGAGTGAAAAATTATTGTTACTTTTCGTCCTTTTATTCGCGCTCAAGTTTTATTTTCGTGTTTTTTGTTGGGCTAATATTTACTAACTGATTGTTTAAGTGGAGTGTTGCAAGAAAACATAAATTCGATCCCGTCTATGAATTTTTGCACACTATTTCCCAAAAGCATGCAAATTCACCTCCTTGTATTCCAGAAAATAATTTTCCTCACACAGTCCTCTTGACCAATGTTTCCGAAACTTTTTAGTTTTTAGACAGCAAAATTAAGTTATATATTTATAAAAAAAACATAAGAGGAGTAAGAATTATCATCGCTTCATATTTGTTGTTTTTTTCACACAAAAAAATGTAAATTTGGACTAAAGACTTTCATTGATATTTTCAGAAATCATTGTGGATGCATTTCGTTGTTACCAGAACGTACAGGCACAATGAAGGGTGATTCAAATTCGATATTTTAGCATTGGAATCTCGTAAACGGTAAGAGAAACGAAGTCGGTTAAATTACGGGTAAAGTTGGGCATTTTGAGTTTTAACACAATTGCGGATTAAAAACTTTATTAATATTTAAACGCATTTAAAAAAATTAAAGTTGATAGTGATGGGCGGAACTGGAAACATTGAATTGCAGATCTAATAGTATAATCTTGTAGAGAGTTAAAAATTGTGACAATGACAAGTATTTCACCTTCTAAATATATCTCCAGATAAGTGCAGAAAAATAATCGTTTGAGCAGTTTTTTTTTTCGAATATTTCCGGGACTAATAATAATTTCTCAACTTTTAAAACATATTCTTATGTAGATTGAAAATGCGCAACTTTATCGTAATTTAACTGATTTCGTATCAGTTAAGGTTTGCGAGATACCTACTAATTCTAGCGACTCGAATTCGTAACACCCTGCATAGAGCAAATGTTTTGTTTAATTGTTTAAACTTTTCAAAAATACATTCTAATTTAGGTATAGGTTTTTTGAACAATTCTCTTTTGTGGAACTTTGAGTGTTTACCTTTTTTGACTTGATTTGGAAAAATAAACATTGATTTATTGTTTTGATTTTATTGAGTTTTTTTTATTTATTAAGATTAATTTTATTAAGATTTGAATGGCTGTTCGCGGGACTAAAATAACGTACAAAATAAATGGTAAAAATCCAAAGAATACATAGATTATTTACTGCTGCATTCAGCATTTTTTTTAATACGCCTTTGCTGGCACACTACATAGAAAAATAACTCACTTGTCCTAGCGACTTCAATAAAGTTATAATAATTTTAAAAATTTTTAAGTGCAAAATTTTTTTACTGGAAAACCAACTGGTTTTACGTGTAACCAAACTGGAAATTTGGGGTTAAAACGATAAAAAATTAACAAATAACTCCAAAGAAGAAAATATTGACTCAAATCACTGACCCTGTTAATGAACCACTAACAAAGTTTGCTGTTCTAATCGACTTTATTCTTTCTTTACTTAATTTTTTTAAGCGTTAATAAATAGTAGGCTAATTAAGAGCAAACCAGCGCGCCCCCATTTTCCGCGATTCAGCGCGGCATAAAACAGCTCGTTTCAACTCAACTAAAATTACAATTTGAAATTGAGCTCGAGCGCTCTAAAGAAATGAAAGTTATCGTCGTCTTAAGACGGCGGAGGGAATTTTGCCTCGCTTTTTAAAAGTCTTGCTAATTATGAATGAGAAGCAGACACGGCGTACTCTCGCTGTAGTAGGGCTAGGTCAGGGTTCCCAAGTCTTCGTTTTTCTTTCCGTTTCTTTTTCAAAAAAGTTGGAGCGCGTTGCACTCCGCAGCCAAACGCTTCTAAATTGCTCTTTCAATTTTCCACTTTGTTTTAATGCGCGCCCCCAATTGGAGCCGGGGTCGAGACAAGAAATACGCCACTTCAGATTTTTTACTTCTTTTAATTGTTCATGGGTTATTAACACTTAAGGAAACTGAAAGTTAGATAGTATGAAATCGTTACAAATTTATAAATAGCTAATTTAGAGAATATGAAAAATCCACTAGTTAAACGCCTACATTGGGTTGACTAGGCAGTTCATTCACTGCCGTCAGCTGGACTTCAACCACCTCAGTATTCTCGCCTGTCCACCCTTTAGCTTTTTCTGCCTCCCGCTCCTCTTCGGCCTTGCGCCGCTTGTATTCTTCCAGCTCGAAGTAGTATCTGTGTTTATAGCATACGATATCCCACATATTAACCCCATATTCTATTCTGTATTTACCTTGGAGTGGTAATGCCGAAGAAGGAAGCCAGAGCTTCGCCTATATAATCAATGAAAGAGAGCGTAGTGTATCCGGCTGCCCAAGTCTTGTAGAGCATCCAGGGGCCCCAAGTTAGTGTGCTCTAAATAGAACCACTTTAATTAACACTGGCTTAGTTCTTTGCAGAAAAATAATGGTAGAAAAGGAAACACTTCAGATTTCCCCAATGAATATTGTCCGAACACGATCGTCTGAAGAAAGAAAAATGGCGCAATAAACTCATCACTAGGGATTTTTATTAAAGGGCCCCAAAAATGCTTAGAGCTTCAGGCTCGCAAGAGTCTTCATCCGCCCCTGAATAAACCATGACTACTGATAGCAACTGTAGGTAAGTAATAAATATTTTGAAAGCATCGGAACCTTAGTTGCAACCCTAAAAACAGCTTTTTAAATGCAAATAGTCGTTTTTTCATTTAGAAAATTAAAATTGAATTTAGAAAATGTATACGAAACTGATATACCTACAATCTGAACGCAAAAAATTAATTCAAAATTTAGTGAGTTTTTTCCGAGGCAAATACTCCGATGCGAATTTGACTATGTATTACTTAAAAAAATGCATATACAGGGTGTTCCAAAATTATTACACGTCGCTCAAGTTGAGCATTTCAAATAAAAACCTTTGTGAGTAGTACAAAAATTGCCAGTATTTTTTATATACACATACACATATACATGGTTATTCACGCTCCACGGCACGGAAGTTTGCGGCTAAACCGTTTGATTTTGATTATAAAATGTTTGAAAATTCTGATTTTTGAAGAATTGAAATGCAAAAATATCGCTCCAATGGATACAAAACAATGGGTAAAATAAGCGGCAATGTCGGAAGCTAGTGGAATTAGAACAGGGAATTACAGAAAACTAATCTATCTTTTTAAGATCTTTCTTATCTTAAAATATGTTTAAGATAGATTAATGTGTGTATGTGTTTTTTGCGAAAATGCGGTTTTCGACCACTTTTCATTGAAGAAAATAATTACCGCAATTTTGTGTCTCGAGTACAGTCTGTTCCAAGCTTTTTGGCAGTGACGCAGTACTTGTCGTACTTTTTCTATTACCCGTCCACCGAGCGAGACGAACATTTGATGTTATTAACGTAGGTATGTCTTATCAAATTGTTACAATTCGCGGAAGTATGAAAGAATGAAGGAAGTATAAAAACTAAAAAACGCGCCAAAAACCTTTTTCTATATGTACTCCCTAAAAGCCCGCGGACAACACCCCCAAGGGATGACGCTTATTTCAGTCACCCTCTACACGTCTTTGTTAGGCATTCTGGCCAGTAGAGCGCCATCTAACGTACCGGATCCACGATGCTCGGGCTGAGGGCAGAAGGTGTTTTCTCCTCCTCATCGCTGCTGTACTCCTCCAAAACGCCGTCGGAAAATGTCAGGACATTTCTGGGAGTTTTGTCTTTATATTTGAGGAGGACTGGGTCCGGATGATCACCCAAATAATCTTCAGGCTTCACTAATACCATGGCAAAACGTAAACACAACAACGCAATTTGACACTGAGCGACAGCTGTTGCGGCGTTGCCAGTTAACCAGACTGGGTTTTGCTGAAAGTTAAAACGGGTTTTTCTTCCGGTCTTTGGGAATTTCTAATATTTGTTATACATGAAAACACTATTTCTGCACTATCAACAATTAAATAAAACGGCTGTTTTGATTAAAATTCCATTCGTTTTCGAGCGGATTGTGTGGGACTTGACAACGCTGATCTGGACTAAACAGACAGATGGTAAACCGACACATGTGAAAAAGAAAAAGGTAAACGCGACGACCTATTTGCGTTCACGAATGCCACGAAATGAGAGATTTCCGAAATAATGAGCCTGATAACGGTGTTCATTCGTAACTGGCTAATCTAGGGCATAAAAAGCGTAAACAAAGAGCGATAAAAAGTGCTCCTTATCAATTTCGAGTGCTATTATGATTCATAATTGTCCCGAAACATTTCAGTTTTCATGAACATTTCGGCGACAAAAACTTGCGGTAGTTTTCGTGTAAATAACACCTGCAGTTTGGTGCCGATGGTGTTTTTTTGAGAAGCATTTACTCTGCCAGTGTATACCCCAATTTATTGGTAAGTATTTGGAAATTTCGGGCTTTTACCACATCGGTAACATAAAACCGGTGAGCAAGTTGTTTATCTCGACAATTACAGCGCTTTCACAAAAAAAAATCCCGACCTTTTGTATGTTTTCTAGCTTCCAAAACTTACAACTTTATTAAAACTAGGCCTTAAATTTTTTATTTATATTCAGTGAAAGTCTCATCCATTTAAATCACAAGTAAACCCGAAAAGCATTCACCTGAAGAATACCTGTCTAATAGACCATACATCCTCAAGGTGTGAAGACTCGTTTTTCTGAATAACTGAGGGCATGCAGACGGATAGTCACATATTTGTGCAATAAGCTTGTTTTAAGAGACCATTCTCTATATTTTCTATATCTATGATCAAGGCAAAAAGTACCTACATTAAGTTCTAGGGGTGTCCCCATTTCTGCCTTGCAGTTCTTCACTTGTTCAGGGAGGTAGAATTACAAGTCAATTTTTATCGGCCAAATTCAACTTAAAAGAAGGGATTCTACATTGACTTAACTTTGGTACACCGTAACATACGCTGGGAATGCTCTACAAGCTTTAAAAAGCGAAATCTCTTCTGTCGTTTGAATAGACCACCTGGTATCTGACGACATTCACAAATATATTTTTTATTAATTTCGAATAAGTAAATTACATCACATACCTTACAGGGTTACTCATGTTATACGACACGGAAGATTGTGGCTAAACTATTTTATCTTTAGAGATTACCATTTCATGAATAAATGGAGGTTTATTTTAAAATTATCTTGTGATGTGCAGGTTGTCCCTATTACAACACCAGTAATTTATAATAATTCACACACAACACAAATTGATCTACTAGATCAGTGGTCAGCAAAGTGCGGCTCCAGAGCCGCATGTGGCTCTTTGGCTCCTTAACTGCGGTCTGGCACAAAAAATATACACGGAAGGCGCAATAATATTTTCATTTAAAAAAAACGTGGTAAGAAAAAAATTACATCTTATTTTGATAAATTAAAATTCTTGTATAAGTCGAGAACATGTATATTTTTTGTTTAAGTTAAAAGGTAGATGGACAATTAAAATCTTATAATGTTGTAAAAATACGGAACGAACGTAGTTTAATTTTATTAGTTTTCGTAAACGTAAACACAACACGATTTTTTAAAAGATTTTTCTTAAATTTTTATTTTCATCAATTTAATAATGATAAGTTTTGTACTGGTTACATTAGAAAAAAATATATTTGGACTATTTTTATGGACACCTCAATTAACATGGCTACCAAAAAAAGCAAAGAAAAATGGAAGATGAAAAACGCGAATTTAAAGTTGAGTGGACCGAGAATTTTGCGTTTATTCAAAACTTGAATGGACTTCCGGCATTATTTGTAAGGAGAAATTCGCGCATAACAAGAAGTTCAATTTAGAGAGACACTTTACAAGAAAGCAAGCGTCATTTAGCACTAAATATCCTACCGGTAATGCAAGGAAGAAAACAGTTGAGGAACTTCAGAAGAGTCAAGAGTCGTCAAATTCTGTGTTTAATAACTGGATGCAATCTTCCAGCAATATTAATATGGCAAGTTTTGTTTTTACTCAAGAGATTGCTAAGAGAGGGAACCCGTACACAGACGACGAATACATTAAAAAGTGTTTTATAAATACATCCGAAGCGCTATTTCGGGATTTTAGGAACAAAACAGATATTCTGAAAATAATTAAAGAGTTACCATTGTCTGCCAAAACCATTAAAGATAGAACAATTAAAATGTGTTCGAATATGACCACCCAGGATATCGAAGATCTGAAATTGGTTTCGGCTTTATCAAGAGCAGTTGACGAGTCTTGTGACATAAATGATACAGCGCAAGTTTCACTTTTAGTAAGATTTATGTCTCATTCTGGGCCTAAAAAAACCCCTAAGAATGATTGCCACTCAAAGATCAGACGCGTGGACAAGATATCGCAAATGCTGTAATTCAGTGTATTGATAAACAACATATTCCCCTCGATAAAATTGTCTCGATTTCAACAGATGGGCCCAAAAGTATGACCGGCGTAAGAAAAGGGTTTGTTGCTATTTTGAAAGAAAAAATTTATCACCAGATACTTATTTACCATTGTATCATTCACAAAGAACCGCTTTGTGCGCAAACATTTCCGGATGAAATTTGTAAAGTTATGGAATTAGTAATTACCATTATCAACTCGATTTTAGCTAAAGCTCTTAATCATCGCCAATTCAAAGAATTTTTATTTGAAATGGAGAGTAAGTACGCTGATCCTCTACCTCATATCAAGATACGTTGGTTGGTTTCGGTTCCCTTTTTCCGAAAATTAAAGCATTTCTCCTTGAAAAGGGCGTTCACTATCCAGAACTTACAGACGATCAGTCGATCCGAAACCTTTATTTCATCATCACGAATCATCAATCATAAATATCATCTAAATCAGCTTGATCGTAAGCTTAATTAAGTAAGGCAACTTAATGTTTTATTATCCCTTTGGTCAGGATTTTTTTTTATAGGGAACATTTTTTCAGTTTAGCTCAGAGCCTACTGAAGCATCGCCAAGAAAGTAATTCGTCTATTGATAAACACCATAAACAATAATTTTAAATATGAGGGAAACATTTCTCAACAGGTTTCAGGAATTTAAAAACAGCAGAGCAACTTTAGCATTTCTTAAAAATCCTCTTAATGCCACGATAACCGAGTTGAAAGTTTCTCCTTTTGAAATTGACATTGGTAGCTGTGAAATACAATTGCTAGATTTAAAAAACAAGGAGATATGGCGCTCTAAGTTCGAACGTCTTTGTGTTGAATTGGAAATATTGGAGAAGAAAAAATGTGATCTTAGTTCACAACACAAGTGGTTTGCTTTGAATGATCTGGAGAAGGAAGACATGATAATTTTAGTATTCCTGACTCGTAGAGCCGGTGGCATGGGAAACCGTAAATCATACGAACTTGGTTCGTTGGACACTTAAAAGAGTAATAAAATTACGCTTTCAGCTCTTTGATATGCATTTTTGTTTCTGACTTATTTGGAAAAAACYGAAATGTTCGAATTGCAATATTATTTTTTTCCGTYGTTAATATCAAAGCGGTAGCAAAACCGACTACAGTTTCTCATGGCAGCTTTAAGTCAGCGCTAATACCACCTTACCAAATTTTATGTTTTAATCAGCTTTTGAATAAATCTGTATTTTCAACGCTGGTACTCACAGTGTAGAATATCTATTGAAATTCGCTTGCACAAAAAAACATCTTAAATATTTATTGAAAACAAATGCAAAAATAATTTAAGAAATTTGAATCAAATGTTCCATAAAAACACAAATTTGAAAATATCCTCGAAATTTCAATTAGAATGTGCTGCCACAAACTCCACTCTCAGTATGTTGTCCTTATTTTTACTTAAGTATTTGTTAAATCGACTCTCATGAATCACCAGTAAAATACATAGTTTCTGTTGTTTCAGCCATGAATGCCATGAACTTGAGCACCCTGGACAGAATCCAGCTGGAAATCAAGGAATCAATTCAAAGAGAGAAAGAGCTGAAGAATGGTCTGACCCAATCAAACCCCCCTAGTCTCAATATCAACGAGTTTCCAATGGAAAAAATCATATCAACAGCCGACACCAAATCAGGCAGCAACGGCTTCCGAAAGTTCACTCAGAATCACTCCAGCAATAAGGGGCTGATGCACAAGTTCCTAAAGTCGCGTGGAAAGGTCGGCATGACATCGCTCAATAACAGCAATAATCAGAGCAACTGGTCGTCGGACGCGGCATTTAAACCGGCCAAAATACAAGTGGCAAAAGGCGGAAAATCATTGAGAAACGGCTTTGTATCGGCTGAGGAAAAAATGAAGAAGGAGTTACAGGAGTTTCAGCAGCGGGAGTCACAGCTGAGGGAAGAGCGCAAAAAGAGCCAGCCCAATCTGATGGCCGCCCTCCAGTTGGAGCAGGAGAATGAGTTTGAATCGTTTGGGTATGGTATGGGTGGTGGATTGAAAGCCACCAAGTCGATGGCCAATCTTTACAACAACAGCGATGATGGTTTTGAGGACAACAGCAGTTCGGCCGGAGGCAGTTTGAAGCCGGCGAGGTCGTTAGCGGAATTATGCGACGTTTCTGATGACGAAAGTGGACTACCTGGTGAGTTTTTACTCAGAATCAATTTCTTAATTCTGGAAAAAATGAATTTAAATTTGCAGGTACGCATTCGTTAATATTGCAGTTCGAAAACATGCAGTTTAAAAACAGGCCATCTTCACAGTCCTCAAGGGGCTCTTCCAGGGATTATTAATAATGAAAGGTGATAATAATTCGCTGTTAATAACCATATATTTTTTGCTTAAAGCTGAATGGTTCTCCGGCACAATGAAGTACTTTTAGTACAGTTTTTATTGGCACAATTAAGTACTTTTAGTCTAGCACATCGCTTTACGCGTTTTTTTTATGCGAATTATTTTTTTTACTATTGGGTCTACTTAGTAAAATATTCCGTCTCATTAGAAACGCCTAAGCTTCATTTTGAAATTATTTCAGTTCGTTGCCAACTGATTTGCATTTAAATAATTTTGTTACTGGAAAGTATGTATTCGTAATTGCCAAAAAACACTTGTTTGGTGTGTTTCTGGGAGTATTAAAAAAACTACCTTGCTGGGCTGCTTCATGTCCTAAAAAGCCAGAAACCTTCAAATTTTCACTGTTACGTTGGTTGAAAGTCTAATATGTTGCAAAGAATGCTTTCAAACTAGCATTCATTGTTGAAGTTTTAGTCGTCATAAACATATTTTAGCTATTTATACACATGTTAAATTTAAGAAAATTCCTGGGGATTTTAGGGAAAATTAAATCATCCCTAGAGTCTGGTAGGTTTTAAGAAATCCATGCAGTATATGAAAAAATTGCGTGCCTTATTGACAGCCACTGGTGATAACGTACTTAAAAAATTTACAAATTATTATTGATGTTACTGTTCCTATATTTATACACACATAGAAGTATTTTTGAACCTGCCAAGAAAAGTATGTACCTACTTAGTAAAAGTCTTCCTATGCGTCCTAGATGTGTAAACTATCTGTTAGTCTAGCAAATGTTAGTAATTGTAGGAAAAAAGCAATTTTCAATTATGTCCGTCCCTATACAGGGGTTTGCATCTTGCAATTTCCATGATTATGTACCCCGTATGTTTCATCAATTGTTATTTTTCCTACAATTTGCGTGAAAAATATTTATTTAAATCATTAATGATGATGTGCATTAAAATCATACCGTCCATTGTTTGGAAGCTTTCCAAAAGCCAAATAGTATTTATTTTATTTATTTCTTCTGTAGCCAATAAATTAAATATGCGAAAACTAATCTCGGTGGTTTCTTTTCCTACTATTAACAGAATCTGAAAGTGATGTGAATACATTTAGAAAGAATGAGATCATGCGAAGATTCTTACGGTACTTTAACGCAAACGGCTGTTTGTTTAAACAATTATAGCAGGCTAAAGGTTGCTAAACCCACTATGGAATACATGTATTATGACTAAAGTCATCTTAGTTACTTTTGGTTAGTAAAGAGACAATTTTTTGTAGTTTTCAATAAATTAATACTATTTGAACATACCATCAATTCCCTGATTTACTACGTACTTTGTACATTCGCCATTTACTCCAAACTTTAATTTTTGCAAACTATACAATGTTATAGGCAAGGAAAAAAGGATCAGAACAACTAACTCATCAATATGAATAGTTTTAGAAAAATGAACCTTGGTGGAGTAAGTTAGATCAATGCTACTATCGAAGAGCTTTATTTGTATTAGAAATAAAAAATTACTAAGATCTTTTTTTGTCAATTGGCCCGGCGGCAGGACTAGACACAATTTTTTTGGCTTACCGAAAGCTGCTTCGTGCCACCTGGAAGGAAAGGAGAAAATATGTCTACTACAGTAGGAAATCTATCCAAAGCTAAACTTATTTCAAATCAGCAAATAAAACTTCAGTTGTTTGTTGGAAAACTAAACTCAGTTCAAGCTAAAAGATTTATAGATTAGAGATCATTCTTACCAGCTTTCCTCAAGCTGGCGACCCTTTTTTTCCTTTTTTCCTTTCCTCCAATTTCTTCCAATTAGACCTCAACAAGTATTCACACTTTCACAAATTACCGCACTTGCCACAAGGTCCACCATCATTCAATATTTCTTATTTCGCATCTAAGAACGAGACTCACACGACACTATCGGTAGCAAACTGAACATTCATACACTTTTTCGAGAAAAAAGACACCGAACTACAGAATAAACATGATTATTTAATCATAATTGTTCGCCCCTTCGATGATTCATGCTTTACTTCGCAGTTCGATTTCAGTTTGTTTATTGTTGGCATTTTTGTAGAAAGTGCCTGTTCGCATTGCAATATGTATTTCCAAAGGAAAATTTCACGTCCCAACTTAACGAAAGTCAGCAACTAAAAGAAAAACGCTCTAAGCGCCTATCTTTCACCAATTTAATTTTAAATTTAGAGCCATTTATATTCGTCTGAATTTCACTCAGCTGCAGTGATTAATGCACAACCAAAACTAAAATTAATAACCGAATTAATTTTGTTTTATGATGTTGCAAACCACCTCTGAATATGCATGCCACTCGTGCTTGCGAAACGCTAGGAAGAACTTATTTTCCACCGAGACATATAAGCTAGAAATACTCACCAGTTTTAAGCCATGTTCGCGAAATTCTAACTCTTTAGATAATGAAACTTAAGAGACAAAATATTTCAAAATTTACTACCATCTCCGCCGTTAATTGTTCAGTTCTTCCTGTTGATGACCAATGCTCTGCTTTCCTCTATATTCAACTTTAATAGGTTTCACTTTTTCTGGTATTCTTTTATATTTTTAGAAAAAGGCTTACATTATTTCGACCATTGGCCCACTTCAGTTCTGATCCAGTATGTATGCGACGACTATAACCAACTATGCCTTTGCAGGGCTATTCGTATCGATGTATACGCATAGGATGGGGCAAATGGTCACCGGGTACTATTTGGAAAAAGTGATAGAAGACACCAAGAATAGAGATGCACCTTTACTCCGCCCATGAGAACAACATCGCTGAGCTGCTGATCAGTTTGGGCGTTTTCGCACATCCTCATGTGCCCAATTACGGCGCCTGAGTATCTTTGGAGGTCCATTTCAGCAACAACATCTACTATCTAGAGGCCTCTCTAATATAAATGCTTTTTCAGGTCATACGAGAACCATGAAGGAGAAGAACCAAAGCAGCTCTCTATACCGGACTGCGGTAGTTTCTGTCCTTCGGACAGGTTGATCGCTATCATTGACCCGTTGATTCCATCACCGGACTTGTGCGGGATCTAGTCTGGATTGGAGTCTGGACTTTGACGGAGAATCTCCTATGTTGTGAATGTACTTTGGAGTTGAAATTAATGTTTCCCACTGTTACATTGGCGATGTGTTTTTACATGCGTACGGCTGCTGGTCATCGACCACTTGAAAGCCGTGAAGGGCATGATTGCGAATTAATTGTTATTCATTTATTATGGGAAATTCGAACAGACGATCTTATTATGATGTGGGATAGTCGTTTACCCGGAATTCGGAACTATGACCGATAAAGTTGGGTTTCCGGCATTTGGGTTTTTTAATACAAATCCAATTATTAAGGTAATTCTGCAATTGATCCTGCTGGTTTTGTCACACAAACTGGTTGCGACCGAGATTCCCCAGAAGACTATCACGGAAATAAATCAACTATAACACTACTATTCTGGTGTTATAATCATCAGAAATATCAAGGCCACGTGTCAAAGAAATGAAGAAACGCTAGAGAAAAATAGATGTGCTCTATTACAGTTACACATTCCATCTTCAAATAATATTGAAGAAATTGCCAACAGTTAAGACGGTTTCACAGTTTTATCTAATGAAAAGCAAGTTTTGCTTCAATGCCATTCTCACGCACTTGTTAGGTTTCCACACTTTTTGTAGGCATTTTTTTCATGAAGAACTCAAACAGCTAATCTCTCAGTGACTTACTGGAAAGTAAAGTGTTTTCTATAGTCCTTGGAAGGTCGTTTTCACACCTGATTTTCAAAATTAATTTTCAAGTCAGCAAAAAACTAAACCTTCATTCTCTGGTCATATTCACGAAATTTTCAAATTTTTTTAAAAGTTGAATATGTTTTTCTACGTTCTGCTTTTAGCAATTGATTCTCAACTAACCGACAAATGCTGAAAACAAGTGGAGATTAATTTTGGAATTTGAACATTTTTTCCATTTCCTCTGAATGTTTTTTTTTTAATGGAATTTAAAGATCTTTGGAGAAGATTGCTTTATTTATGAATTTGAGTCACAAATTTCGTTATATGTTATAGGCCTGGGTAACAGTAAATTTTTAAGAGTTGGCGCAGTGCTGCGCAAATAGCTTGTTGCTCCAACCCAAAGCACCGGCGCAGTAACTCGGTTCCATTGCTGGGAAAATGTTGATGACCTTTTCTTTTGGTTGTTTTTATATTTATTTTAACGTCAGTATTAAAATACTGACAATCTTAAGGTCTGCCAAAAATTACAAAATAATTTTTATTAGAACAAACCGAAATAAATTTATCCCGTTTTCTTCCGAAAATCATTAAAATTTTCTCAAAAACCGATTAAAAAACTAAATTATTTTCTGATGCTTTTCTCTTTTCCTGACAATCTTTGGTCTTTTCAGCCAAAAAAGAAAAAAAATTATTTTGTTATAAAATTCGCTTCATTCATCGCTTTTTGTAGGGAATGTCAGAAAACCCTTTTCAGCTTCGAACAAAAAACGCACAAAAACCAGATAACTTTATTTAGTTTTTCACCGAAAGTATTGAAGATTTTGATTCAACGACCAGAGAGCAAGAGGCTAAAAATTATTTGGAAAATTCGCCAACTTTATCGGTCTGAAGAATTTTTAGTTTCTTTAAAATTTCAGGTCGTTCCAGCTTTAGAAAAGTTTTAATTAAGCAATTCTTTCTAGGCAAAAACGCATTGTTTTTTAGTTTTACTTAAAAATACTGACAATCTTCAGGTATTTTATGTGAAAAATTGTAAAATAAATTTTATTTGAACACTCGCCTCCTTAACAGCTTTATACATTTTTTACAACATTTGCAGCTTTGAATTTCGTCAAAAACCCAAATAATTTTTTCAGGATTTTTTCCCARAAATATTTCCCCGAAGAGAACAAGCGAAAGTTTATTATCAACTATTTTGAAAATTAGTCATCTTCGYTGCTGTGAATAATTTGTTTTTTTTTTWAATTCCGGTCTCTTCCCTTTTGGGTCAAAATTTCTAAACAGGAAACCGCTTTTTTTCTTAACGTTTTGCCTTTTTGCTTAACCGAAATCAACGAAAATCTTATGAGTTCTCCTCTTCTCTCCATCTATTGAAAATTGATCTCCAATAAATCCCGTAAACTGAAATATGGCCTGAATGCAAAAAAACCCTGTGCAAATGAGAATCTCACTAAAATCCTATGCGGTTGATCTAGCCATTTAAACCAATCAGACTGTTCTAAACCGGACAATTTTTCTCCGTCAAAGGGATTTTCTACACTATTCGTCACACGTTCCACTTGCGTAGCACAACATTTCCATATAAATACCTGCCTGATCAGCCATTCAACTATTCATCTGTAGTGCGACAAGCAGTAGTCTCACTGGTTTCAGCATGAAGTCACTGATGTTGGCCCTTTTAATTCAACACCTTGCCCAAGGTATTCCCAAAGAATTTTTCATCTTGGACGAGCTTGAGGGAGCCGATTTTCACCATGAGCATTTCGATCATGAGGACGTTTCCAGTACTTTAGTTCTCAGCCATGTGGTAAGTCCTGCTTACATCACCAAATAGTCCTGCTTACATCACCAACTTCATTGGCCTCTTTTGCAGCTTTTCCGGCATGGGAATCGAACCCCCGATAGTGTCCAGGAAATGTATCCCAACGACCCCTACCTGAACGAGACCTACTATCCCATTGGCTTGGGGCAACTTACCAATGTACTGGGCTTTCAGCCCTCCGCTCTTCAAATTTAATATATTTTTGCGGTTTCAGGCAGGGAAGATCAGGGAGTTTAACATCGGCACCTCGTTGCGACAACGCTACAGCCGCTTTCTCAGCGAGTTGTATTTACCCGAGGAAGTAGAAGCCTTTAGTACAGACTACAGCCGCACCAAGGCCTCCTTACAGCTGGTGCTGGCGGGGTTGTTTCCCCCCCAGGGGCCCCAGCTATGGAATCCCTCGGTGCTCTGGCAGCCTGTTCCTTATCGCTACGCCCCCAGGGGGCGGGACTCGCTTCTAATGGGGGGCTTATGCCCTACCTACTTGCAACTGTACCAAGAAATGGAGGAATCGATCGAGATGAGAAGCAAGTTTATGAAGCACCACACATTTTTCGAATATATCTCCAGGTAGGTTCTAGAATTTCCTTCGAATACTATACAAAGTCTTCAGTTAGGGAAGGCTTTCAAAATCAAAAACTGGGGGTCCAGTAGCTAAAAAAGCCAGCACGACCAGAGATTCAGTAACTTTTCTAAGCACTTTTTCAATTATCTTTCTACGAACACTTTTAATATACAGGGTATTTCCGAAATATCAACTTCCGGATTCTGGTGCCAATGTCCACCATTTGACGTGTAGTGTCTCCAGTTTTTCGCATTCCTAATGAATCGTCCTGCATTGGCGCTTTAATACAAAACACAAAAACAGTTGTGCAAAAACGTTTAAGTAATTACGTGGCAAGTACTAAAAACAATTGACACTTGACAGGCACAGCGGTCTGGAAGTGAGCACGTTCCGTCACATCTACAACCTTTACTTCGGACTCTCCACTGAGGAGGAGTGGGGTTTCAGCCTGCCTGATTGGACGCAGCCGATATGGCCCCGAAAAGTGACAGCCGTCGCTATACACGAGTACTACGTGCAGATGGCGAACGATCGTATGCGGAGGCTTGCCTCCGGCCATCTGCTGAGGAAGATCCTGCACGATACGGAGGCGAAAATAGCCCAGTTGAGTAAAGGACGTAAAATCCATTTGTATTCCGCTCATGAGAACAATGTTGCCCAACTGCTGATCCTTCTGGGCGTGTTCTGGCCCCATATCCCTTCTTATGGAGCGCACGTTATTCTCGAGGTACACCACATAGAGGAAGAGTTTGGAATTAAGGTAGTTTTCCGCACATGTGGGGAATCTTCAGACTCCACGTAAGCCTACGGTTCTTTGCAGGTGTTTTACCAGAATTGGGAGGTTGAGCACCCGGAGTTGTTGCAGATCCCTGGTTGTGACGTATTTTGTCCCCTCGATCAGTTTAGAGAGCTTTTCAGCAAATATATGCCAGAGGATGACGAGTGTGGCTATTGACGCCCCAGTCGAAACTCCTCCTAGTGATTCCACTTTCTAGTCAACATCATCGTGTGTTTATTTATTTAGGCTTTAAGTAATAAATCGTTAATTTATTCTTCTGCAGTTTTAGTTCCATTGTTCCCGATTATTTTGCATCCATTGGTCTCCTTATGAATAGCACTTCCTTAGATGCGTCCGATCGATGATTTTAATATATTCTACTGAAGCGTTTTTGAAGAACGCAAAGTGTTGATTCAAGGGAAACCAGTTATAAGTAACTTTGAAGATTGAAGGGAATATTCGGATTTGGTTCTCCACGGCACAATTAAATTATGGAAGAAGGAAAGCTGGATAACGTCCATACATAAGAAGGGAAGCAAAGAAGACTACAATAACTTTCGGGTCATAACTGTATAACAAGTGGGCTCGTTATTCCACTCTAACTCTGCCACTTTTCAAGGGATTTGAACGGATAAAAAGTCGCATTTCTGGCGATTTGAAACGTTTTGAAATGCGAGTCTGAAATTACAACTCGAATGCCTTCTTGGTCTTTTTGGAGAAAGATTAAGTCTTGTGTGATCTACGGTTTTGCTTCTCCCCAAGGTATGGAGTTTTCTTCTTCTCAAGGTACAAAGTGCTTCATGGAGGCAAGAATGCAAGGATATCGAGGATACTCCGAGCTACGCTAGACTCCATAAGGCCCTCTCAAAAGAACCACAGCAAAAAGTGGGATTCCTGAAAAAATCACAGGGAGGATATACAACCGAAGAGGAGATCCTGGAGCTATGCTTAAGACTCACTTTCCTAGATCAATACTGGAAACAGTCTGAGAACAGGAGATACCAATGGTTTTCGAGGTGCGACAGCGGAGACCGAAAGCTGGACACTGACGACACTGGACAACTCTTGCCTCAAGCATTGTAAACCAGTCCAAAGTGAAATGGACAATACGTTCTTCCAGACCATTTAAATCACCGTAAACAGATGGCGTGATGCCAATTCTGCTACAACAGGAAACCGATTCACTGGTGCCCCTCTTGTGCCAGATACTCCTGGCCTGCCTAGCCCTGGCATAGATACCAAAGGAATGGAGAAAGACTAAATTTATTCCAAAACCATTGCGTGCGACGTATGCCCAGGCCAAACCCTTTCGCCTAATCAGCCTAACATCGTTCTTACTTAAAACAGAAACACTTAAAGAGAAGCTGATCGACAGGCACATCAGAAAAATATTCTCACCAGAAATCCCCTACACCACAACCAATATGCCTACCAAACGGGAAAATCGTGCGAATCTGCTATCCATGAACTGGTGCAGAGGGCAGAAACCTCACTAGGGGGCAATGAAATTGCTCTGACTGCTTTTCTAGACATCGAGGGAGCCTTTGACAATACCTATTTTCAGTCAATAGTCAGAGGGATGAAAAATCGTGGAGTGGAGAATTCAATAGGTGAATAGAACCCAAACATGCTGAGTACAGAACAGTTACCGTTGAACTCAATGAAGGCAGTAGAAGCGCGGGTTGCCGGCGGGTGTCCGCAACGATAAGTTTTGTCGCCTCTGCTGTGCAGCCTGGTGGTGGATCGGCTCCTGTTGTCTCTCGAGGGAGGGGCGCCTGCTGCATGATCACTCATGCAGCAGGCGCTAAACATCACTGAACAATGGTATAACACGGAAGGGCTGAAAATCAGCCCATCCAAAACATCTATTATCGCTTTCACAAAGAAAAGATRTCTTAGACTGRKGTCTATWTATGGGTATATAACACGTCCAACACTGCTCAAYACATATAAATGTCCAACACTGTTAAATATCTTGGGGTAACCCGGGTAAAAAACTGGTGTTTAAATACCATGTGGAACAGAAAACAAACAAGGCGATCAGAGCTTTATGGACCTGCAAACGCACTTTTGGAGAAACATGGGAAATTTCACCAAAGATTACGTACTGGACGTACCTCACCATGTGAAACCCATAATCACATATGCCGCCGTAATATGCTGGCATAGAGCCAAGATCAGTACATATCGACAGTCTCTGAACAAAGTTCAGAGGTACTCTTGGGGCTGGAGCCTTTGCATTYATCCATTGAAGCTGAGRCCCTAAGAAGCGCTTACCGTATGGGTGACGATGTCCTCAGGAAAGCGACGGAATTGGGACGYAGYGMGATCTTCAGAAAGCTGGAGACAKTCGAACCCATAGGATTGAAAGCTGATCGAATCAAAACTSTAAGYATTTCGCTWCCTTTCTGAACATATGCTCTGGATGAGGGGCGAGATRGTGGAGTGACTMCATYAGCTATCACAGGGGACTCCGTATCGTATACGGAAGGCACAAAAACAGCATCGGGCACAGGCGCTGGTATAGYCGAAARAGGAAGAACTGGGRAAAGGATYACCTTAAACCTGGGTACAAYYACGACMGCTTTCCAAGCAARYRTYCTAGCRATAACAAKTTKCRCCCGGAAATTGAGGGAAAGAGCCTACMCACGTAAGYATAWTACCATCGTMACCGGAGATGAATCCACAATAAAAGCAGCCGAATCATATACAATCAGGTCACAATGTGTGCTAGATTGTGTAAAAGAACTTACGACTGCTGGCTGTGAGCTCAAACAGAGTAAAACTYGCTTGAGCAACAGGGACAAACAGGAGCAAAGGAAACAAGAAACTGACCAACCAAGAACCTGCTTGTGGCACATCGGAGTTGGGCAATGGTTCTTGGAAGAACATAGAAGGTACTGGGAAGAGATACGGTGACTCCTTACCGCAAGGCAGTTAGTGGGACCTCCACAACCAGTGCGTAAAAAAGACGTGATAGATCTCAGCATGCAAAAAATTACGAGGATAGTGGCCTTTCTAACAGGACACGCCCCGAGTCCCAAAGACTCCTGGGAGAACATAAAGTTCTACCAGGCCAGGTCATGCGTACCCCCCTCAAGACTCTTCTGCAATTCATTGAATACACAGGGATAATGAGGGACTGAAATACGATAACAGGGATAACGAGGGATAACACAGGGATAACGAGGGCACAATAGGACRGAAATGAYCGCGGTGCTAGGCCAAACACCGCCTCGGAGGTGAGGAAAGGTGAGGTTTTAGTGGGTAAACAGCTAAGCTGGAGACCCACACAGCCCAGAGAGCCAGATCATCAGCTCTGGGTGTGCGTAATAGAGCATTTCCCAAACCTCACCGGAAAAAAAACGGGACACCTTCATGGACCAACAAAACAACTTGCTTCCGGTATTTCCAGAAGATGTTAAGTACGCTCGCTACTTAATTCTCCATGTCATAAATCCGCCATTTTTTAAGATATTTGAACGGACAAATTCGCTTGATTGAAACATTTTCCAATCACATTTTAAAAGCGTTAGTCAAATGCCTTCTTGTGTTTTTTTAAAGAATCTAACTATTTCATTAGCAACAGTTCCGCTATTTATCAAATCGCATGCAAAGGCAGATGGCTACTGATAGCTACTTAAGCCTCTTTAAAGGAGTGTTGGAAATGTTTGCATAAATCAGATTTATTGTTGAACCTAGTTTGAAACGAGTATAGAGACCGCAATAGTCCCCAAAACTTCTAAACGCGTTAATCAATTTTTTCGTGTATTTCAGCTTGACTGATGAAAATTTTAGATACTTTCAATGATGGAATCCAGCGGAACACTTTAGAACTTAATACAATTGCTGCAAGAGATAAGATGCAATAAAACACATTTTTCCCTGGTTTATCCCGAAGACCTCAATCATACGGTATAATTATGATGGCAAGTAGAGCAAATCAGCATACAGAATTTGCAGCAACCGCATTTCGTTCCAGAGCTATTGCCAAAAGAATCTGTACCCTGTTACCACTTGAATTCAAAAAAACGCTTTTGGTTCTTGTTTGTTTGCGTGACCGCCCATATCCCATACTGTTTCATATTTTTACTTGTGGTGTCGCCTAAGACATTGTTTATAAATCGCGATCAATCACATGGAACAACATGACTGAGCGATTCGAAAGAAAATTTTCGCTTTCACGTGCTAATTTGCAAAGCGGAAGCCACTTTGGACGTTTATGAGATCTTTTAATTGTTAGCGAGTTAAAAACAAGCTTTTTTGGCAATTTTCATAGCATCGGTCCCCAAAACTTATTAACAGTAAAACTCGTTTTTTCTCAACAATGGCCATGATATGGAATGATTGAATATGAACCACACAGTGCTCAAATTACAGTTTTTCTCTTCCCTCATCAACCAACTCAACATGTTTCTCAAATAGTGTGACTAATACGCGTAGAACGAGTGGCGCCCAATACTTCATGGACCACCCACCTTCGAGGGTGACTGAATGAAAAATTTTCGGATGTTTGCCGTCTATTTTATCTCATGGCTCATGGCTTCTGGCTATCTTATCGGCCAGGCCCATTTAGTTTGTTTTGCGGTTCAAATGCGGATGTCATTGATTTGACCATCCACAGTGACCATCGTCGCCCAGCAACTGAACCATTGGCATTTTGCGCATACTGGAAAAATCATAATTATTGCGATCGTCACACGAATTTTAGCGAATTTACATCACTAATAATCGTTGCTGTAATATCTTTGTCAACCGGCTGGAATGACCGATATTTCGATTATGTTGTCTTTTTTTCCCGACCAAGTGATTTGCTTTCCCCAAATCAGTAGCGCAACGTCGCAAAACAACCTGCCCGCCTAAACAAAGCCCACAAATTTCCCATTTAGCTTCCCTCAATTAAAAGAAATCCTTATGAATTCGGCACCTCAATACGATTAGCTCCTACAAACCCCTAAAGCGTTTGCACACGGTCAAATTGATGCCCGAAGGAACCCAATCCGCCGCCTATGGGCAAACTGCGATCGGAATGGTTCCGTTGAAAAGATACCAACTAATCTAGTCAATTAGATGGTTCGTCTACGAATAGAGGCGTAATCGTAAAAATCGGAGACTGATTGTTAGGTTCGCCCAAGGGGGTGGCTGAAAGATATTGTGCTGTTGTCCAGTGCGGAAGTGATCTGTGCTTGTTGACTACCTCAGTTAAGTGTACTTTTGCGACATGATTGGCTCGGAAATTGACTGAAATTGGTTTGTACTTGACATCCAGCCCTCGTACTAAAATATTCGCAGCTTTCTGGTACTTCGCAAAAAAAATCAGTCCTGCGGACTTTTCGCTTTCTGTATGTGTGTGTGTGAGAATTATGTATTTTATCTCATCTAGCTGACGACAGGAAAGAATTCAGCAAAAAGAAGCGGTGCCAATGAAAGCGAACCAAAATGAACCGGAACGCCCGCCGTTACCTAACTAAGCGCGTTTTTGCGCGAATATTTCAATATTCAATTAAACAGCATAAAACAATCGTTGGAATTTTGATCAAATTTTTGGTTCGTTCGCAAAAACGACCCACAGTGATATAACCAATTGACCAACACTTTATCGGGTGGTGTCCAACAGTTAGTGTCACTTAGACTTAACACTAAAACTTACCCAACTTTCCAATCCAAAACGGCACCAATTTTTTTGCGCACCATATACAAACATCATTTCCAGCGTCTTCTTCATGTAGTCTGCACGAACTGTCACTGTTACCTGTCATCTAAACCACTAGGGATTTTTTTTTCCGAATTGATAAGAGCATTGCAGTTAATAATTTGAAATGCAAGTTTTTTATTTTTATTATAACTTCAACAGAACAAATGATTTGGCGCAAGCACATTTGATCCAACGGACTTGTTAGGATAAAAACCAATTTTCCTACTCGTTCGAGAGCCTACTTGTTCGAGTCGAGATTTATTTAAAACTGCAGGATCTGGCTACAACATGGATAATTTTCTTTGCTTTTATTAAGGATTTGTGCCGACGAATTTATTCAATTTCTTTCTCGGATTTCCGACGTTTCTTCTTGTTCTAGGTTTCATTATTCAAAACTTCCTACAACTTGTTAGGTATTAATGATATTTCTTGGATTTTTAATTCATTATTTCTGTTTGATTTTGATTTAATTGTTGCAAAATTATTTGTTTAAAAAAGTGCACTTTTCCCGAAAATACTTTGATGTGTATTAATAACTAACCAAAGGCAGTTGTGGCAAAGCTTGACCTCCAAGCGCAAAACGTTCAATACAAAAGCTGTAGATAATAACAAAGCCTAAAACTTTTGCATTAAACACTTCTTGAAATAACCTCAAATTAACTTTTAAAATCGCGAAAACCCGACTTTACTGTATTTAATTTTTTTCTCGCCTATAAACGATTACATGACAATTTGAAAAAATATGTATATCTTTTTTGACGTTGAACAAGCATGCTTTTTTGCAGTTCACAAGACCACTGGTTTTCCAGTTATGTACAATTTTCTTCATTTTTTCTTACATGTACAAAACGCTATCTTTTTTATATTAAAATATACAGGGTGTTTCATTTTAAAAAATGAGCTTAAGTCCGATAACTTTTGCATCTCACCCCGTATCCTTATTGTAAAAATGGCAGATTATTTTTATTTTTCCAGAGAATTATTTTTTATTTAGATTTTTTTTCCCTTGTATCCCTTATGCAAGAAAAAATTTTGAAGTTTTGATTTCACCATTTGAATGAATAATAAGCATATCTCGAAAAACTTAACTACTTACACCTGAAACGCTTAATGATACTGAAAGTTTGTTTAAGAGTTTTCCGCCAATTTCTGATCCGTATTTTCAAAGTTTCCTAAACATTCCACTACTTCGAACCTGTTGAGTAGAACAGAACTTACCCCCAATATGTCCGAATTTTTCCCCATCAACTTACTAAATTGACGAGTTTAAAAGTCCAAACGCCCCCTGGTGGTAAAAATTATAACTACAAGTTAAGTAGTAATTTGACACTTATTTTATTGACATTGGTGTCACATTGGTGTTTACGTCTGAATGTGACTTGTTTCGTTTTGTTCTAATCAACTTTTGCAATCTTTGAAAGAAATAGAAACGGATCGAAAAGTGTGTAAGTATTGTTTCATGCTATAAATGTCATCAGTTCCAATAAATACACAAGTTTGACAAGTCTCAACTGTCACTCGACAACGAGTGACTTTCAAGACAGTTCAAGACTTTTCGCTTGAATTTGACGTTTCACAGCGCCATCATCGGTAGTTGAACTCGCGAATAATCGTCAATCTGTCACAATTGACGATCTGTGTCAAAATCAGTTGCTGTCACCTTGACTTTTCGTCACTATACGTGGGAGGTTCAAAACTGACTAAATGTTTCTAACTGTAAAAATTCGCATAAGCTTAAAAACGTATTCTTGCGTGAAATAAATAACCCCACTGGGGTGACTGTCGGTGGTCCAGACAACTACAATACCAATAGACGTTGTCATGGAACCAAATCAAATAGATGAATGACCGTTAGGCGCCACTTTCAAAATAGTCATCTAGTTCTTTGTATTAAGGCCCACGGTAAATCGTGCAAAGTGACGAAAATGTCATTTTAGGGGCTGTCGCCTGCAGCTCCATTATACCGATCACAATAAGTGTCTGATGGCAGTGCGACAGGCCGAAAATCCGAAAAGCTCAGAAACACTTACGAAGTGATTGGGTGTAGTCGAGTGGGCCGATTTCTAGTCGCAATTGTTCTCTAGGTTTCAGGTTTAGTTCGTTTGCAGTTTTCGCGGATTTAGTCGAAGCAACTATTTTGTGCAGTGAACAGTGGCTTTTTTGATTAGGAACAATGGAAACTACTTTGTGCAGACTGTTGATCACCTGTTGGATACTGACTTTGTGCGAGTACAGGCATGCCGCACCAGCCGGTAAGTTTCCACAGTCTTTGCCAAAAATTAGTTAATTAGAAATATGCCCATTAAAAAGCAATTTGCCCTCCAAAAGACCATTTAATAGAGATTAGAGGGTATAGACTAATTCAAAAATTCATCAGCGTCTTCAAATTTTGCCACATCTGGCCAATTAACTGACCGTGCTAATGACGACTTCCTTTTCGTCCCATTTTTGCGCCCCACATGTGGATAAACAACCCGGATTCCGGTCGGCATCAACGGTCCTTCACACATGTACAAATTCCGCTACTTTTCACTTTTTGCACAGCTTCTGTAGCCGTCGACTTTGACATTTCGATGACGTTGACATAATAGGTGAAGGGACTTAACAAAAGCCGCCTTTATGGTTGCCAGATAGATATCTGGCGACTGGTGGCACCACTTGAAACCCCAGGGAGTTTATGAGCCACTTGAAAGCCGATAAAGCAGTTCATAAAACTAAAAGGCTTTTTACATGCACAGTGCGTTTCAAAGCCGCCTTTATCCTTTGAAACCTTAATTATGAAATCGGCGGGGCTGGAAAGTGGGCTACATGCGTCGGTAATAGCTAGCATTTGTTTTTATTTTATTAGTAGCAATCTTAAAATGACGAAATACTTTTTTTATATTCCCAATTGGAAATACATGCGAAGATCAATGAACTGATGACTTGCCATCATCAGAGCCGTCAAACGTCAAAGTTTTCGATGTATGTCCCAAGCATTTTGGCAGTGACGCCGTATATGTCGTGTGATGTTAACGTACTAGCATGTCGTATGTCTTTATCAAATTGTTACAATTAGCGGAAGAATGGAAGAGTGCTGGTAGTTTCTGTGAATTTGTGCAAGTTTTCATTTCAATTTACTGATACATTTTATATTTGAGTGTGTGATTTTCGGGTATCAAAAATTACTAAGCAATATTATGAGGGCAGAAGGAAGAACAGTTCATTTAACTCATATTTTCAACACAAACGTTTAGGTCTTGAATGAGTTCCTAATTTTTTCTTGAATTTTTTTCATAATTAGACTGCAGGGTAATAACGAATTTTATTGATTTTTGTGGTTAGTATCCGTTCCACTAGCAAACCTTGTTGCGTAGACTATTACAAATTTAGGGGCATTAACCACACGGCCCCAAAATAGCACTTGCAGAAATAGCCTATTTGTAGAAACCACTGAGTCTCCAACATTGGCGCTCAAAACCACCAATAACGGCCAAATCGAGCCCAAATCCCTCGAAGTCTTTGAGGATGGGTTTGGGGACTTTTCCAAGTTTGAGGATTTTGCCGCTTCCGCCGCGAAGGAATTTGAATTTTTCCGCTCTTCGGATGGCCGGGAGTTTGATGAAGATTTCGCCGCCATCAAAGGGAAGGCTCATCAGGCAGAGGCGACGAAAAAGGCTTTTACGGCCGTCGAGACGACCACCCAAACTGTTGACAGTTCGACGCGGCATTCAAACAGTACGTTATGGCTTTTCCACAAGTCAACCAGGCTAAATAAACACGGTTTTTAATTGAATTTGTATCTATTCAGGAACGCGGCGTGTCGAAAGAAACAGCACTCGCACCAGCCCGAAGAGCTCAGGACCGGTATTTTTGGATCATACTGGCGAAGGGAGCAGCCAAGTAGCTACTAAAATAGCCCCGCAAGCCCTCAGGTACACACAACCATCCCCAGATCCACTTCAGGAGGACGCGACTTATTTTGGTAAGATACACCTGCCATAAAGTATCGATTACGGGACTGGTCGGGGATTTTATGCAAACATTGCCGACATTTATTAACTAACTTTCGTGGAAAATGGACACTTGTAAAGAAAACGGCTCAAATGTTTCATGCCAAATCCAGAGAATGTTTCCGCCTATTTCAGGCTAAAGCCATCCGAACTTAAGCACCCATTAAAACCAACCGTGTATATTTTTAGAAGATCGAGAAACACAAAAATATAAACACCACAAATCAAACGCCCTGACGCACTTTACGAGCGCCATTTAATTCATAATTAAATGCGTATTGCAGGAACTGAAGAACCGACGCCGTTGCGTAGCCTCAGCATTGTGACTGAGATCAGCGTGCAGGAAACCAAAGACGGACAGACCATCAAGCGGAAGCCCACCGAGGAAGAGCTACGCTTCCTGCAGCAAGATCTAGAAGATAAGTTCCTGGCGCAGAACAGCATTGCCGGCTCCAACGATCCGAGCACCAAAGAAGAAGACGTTGAAGACCTGGAGTCGATGCTCAAATCGGAGGATGAGGGCGACTTTGAGTCGTGGAGCGACGACGATGAAGAGCCGAGCGACATGGAGGTGCTTCTGAAGAGCCAGCCCCTGGAAAAACCAGCGGACAAAGAGGCGGAGCCTCCGAAGCCTGCAGAAGAAGCTGCAAAGGATGCAGCACAAGATGGCAAAAAGGGGCCCGACGATGGGGATTATCGCAAAATCTTCCACACGGAAAGGAAGAATTTCTCCAATGTCCAGGAGGTGAAGATCGTGATCAGCGAGACTGAGGGCGACTTCTTCGATGATGAAGAGCCGTTTGATATGATGAAGCCCTTCATGAAACCCACCAATGGCTCTAGTGAGAACAACAGTACTATTTCAAGCGAAGTGAATGAGTTAGACGGCCCAATTACGGAGAAAGCTTCGGAAGCCTTAATTACCACCACTGAGGCGGACTTAGGAGCTACCACGACTGAAGCCCTCACTACTACAACGGAGGATCTTTTCACTACTACCCCCACCACTACCACTACCACCACCACCACCACCACCACCACCACTACTACGACTACTACTACTCCTCCTCCACCTACTACAGAAAAATATATTCCTATCACTACCCCCACCATAGAAGAAGCAAGCCAAAGAAGGGCAAGTAAAGATGTTGAACCAGAATACAATATAAGCCCTCATGTTCTAAGCGAGCTGATAAGCCTGATCAAAGAGGACGATTTTCCGGACGAAAACCCAAAGGTGGCAAACAAACCATCCAGTACTACCGAGGCAACTGCGCCCCCACAAGCTGCGACAAAGCAGCCCTTGGAGGCGGCAGCGGTCACTATCCACGATGAAGAAACCACGACTCCAACCCAGTCGCCAACAACTAAACAAGCCCCTGCATCAGAACAGCCGTTAGAACTGCTCACTCCCACTTTCAACCTAAAGCTGTTCAATGAGTTCTCCACATTCCTCTCCACGGAATTCCCTGGAGGAATGTCCAACTTTAAGGCCTTGAGTACCGCTCCAACCCCCTCCAGCAGTGCAGCCCCCACACCACTTCCGTTTGCGGACTCCTTCGGCTTTACCAGCGGGCCAACCCCCAAGAGTCCTTTCAATGAGGACTTTGAAGGTGACGATTTCTTCACCCAGTTCCCCGATCCGTTCGAAACCAAGGAGGAGGGGTATGACTTTGATGAGTTAACGCCCACTGAGGTGGAGGCAATGTTCAATGAGAAGTTGGATGATTATGAGCCGTTTGATGATGACGAGTATGACTCTATGGGGCGCAAAAAAACCAGTAACGGCTGGGGGAAGAAACAGACCGAGAAGGCTGAGGATCGTATCGACTCAGTTGCCACAACAGAGACTTCTAACCAAATGGCCAAAGAAGATCGGAAAGTCCTGGCAACTAATGGTTCACTTGTACGAACTGAGAAAACTTCAACAACACCCAGCGTTGATAATCAAGAGGAAAATACATCAGTTGCGATCGAGGAACTTGAAACAACCACATCCCTTGATGCTAAAGGAGATAATGGTTCTACAAGCGTTGAGGCCTCTAAGAAAACCCCCAGCGAGGAGACAAAGACTATTGCTGCCAATCCCGTGGAAGATCCAGATGCCTCAAATAAAGCCCCTAACAAAAACTGGGAAACCGCAAGGGAAAAAACAATAACTGACACTAACCCAACAACAACACAGAGCTCCAAAGAAGCACCGGTCATCGACATAGACCCAAAGGAAAACGAAATAGCCACAACAAACAAAGTAGAGGAGCTATTCGTTCCAGTGCTAAGAGCCAAAATTCTCAACAACACGGCAATGTTCAGCATTAGAATCAACCACAAGGTAAGCGTTTCCTGAGAGCAGTGGCGAGTGAATTGCAGTATTGTTTTTCAGGGCGATATTTATCATATTCCTGAAACAGCCCATGTGAAGGAGATGCCCAATCTGGTGAATATCACATGGAAGACCAATCAGCACCTGAACAACTCAGTTGCATTCAGAATCGGCGAAAACGACGACTCATATAAAATTGAGGAGATTGTGATCAACTTGCTGAAAGGTAATTGGTTGATTTGCTTTGGTTCTGGATTTGTATAGGCAGTTTTTTGCAGGAAATCAGTTTAGCGCGCAGAAAACTGGGCTGCAGCCTCGTCCGACTGATAAGCAGGCCCACCTGATCATGATGGAGGACGGAACTCAAATTACCATATCCAATGTGGATTTCCTCAAAAAGTCGAATTCAAGTGAGCATGCCAAAGGTGAGTCATTTTGCAAGTTTAGCTTCAAATGAATAGTATTAAATATATGAAGAGTACAATGAAAACACGTACAAAGTGACGGTGATTTAATTAGTGAGCTCTTTCGTCAGGTAAAATTGACGTATGAACTGTCTCATTTATTTTTCTTGTTGTTCCGTGAATAGAGCAAGGACTTGACAAGTTTTTTCTTGTATACACTAATAAAAACGTTTAATATTTGCTGACATGGAGTAGTATTCCCAGTATTAATGTAAAAAACGAAAATATAGGTCAAACGCACGCTTATTGCTTCCAAATTTTTATGATGGGAAGTTAAATACTTACATAGTGACTTCTGCACATTTTCCTCTATAAATTGGCACATTTCACGAAAAAAACACAAATTTGATCAAGAACTAATCAGGTCTGCAAGTTTTGAATTCAATTTTGACGTTTGTCAAAAATGGAGTAACTGCGGCTATATCCGACCTTGTTTTACTAAAGTAAAACAATGTACGTGTAACAGATCAAACCGCTTGTGACTTGGACTGGCGTTAGCGGGACATTCAAATGTTCAAACATTTGTATACAGAACGTAATAAAATTTGTTCACCATAGGAAATGTGATTTTGCTTAAAATAGCAAAGCCGTGTGAAAGTTTTGATGCAGAAAAATTGATTCTGAAAGGTTGTTTTTTACCTTTGTACACTTAATGGCCGCTGTTCTGGGAATAGGAACCATTTGAAATTCGAATTTTAAGAAAACCTGCAGATTGACTGACATCTTGCATAGAAAATACTGGTCGCTTAGTGTAAAGAGTGACCATTTACTATCTGTTTTAACTGAAACGTGATAGACATTCAATAACACTGGCCAATTTTCTTACTTCGCGTACCAAAAACGTTTAGAGCTAGAAAGCTGTCCAAGTGGAATCGGTTTTCCAAAATATTACTCATATGTTTAAAGTTAAAAACGATAACTGAAATTTGCGGGTCCTAAGAAAGCCACCATCAAGAATTTCATACGAATTTTATCATAAGCATTCCATCATATTTTACTATTTTCTTCGAACATTTGCGCTTAATGAAAAGTTCCCAAAATACGTGCCAACCTAGGGTCAAGTGGGACAATTATAAATCGGGGTAAATGTAAACATGCACAAATTTCAGTTTAAACTGACAGCAAATTCTATCACGTGTGCTAATATTAACGGCTTTAATACCTCTATAAGGATTCAGCAGTTTCTTCTTAGGGGTCCCTTTTCAACTTCCGCCAACTATTTGCGATCGACCCTATATAAATTTGAGATTTTTGTTTTGTCGCCTATGTAAAATTAATGTCAGTTTTATTTTCATTTTAAAGGTAAGTAGTTTTCTTGGCTTATAAAATACTAAAATATATCACTTTATCTATCTTCACTTGCATACATACTGATTTATGAATAAACCGTTTGTCGTATTGTTGTTTACATATACTCCCATAAAAATAGTATATGGTGTAATTGTAAACAACATTTTGGGGTAAAAGTAAACAATGATATACATTAAATTTGAACATTAATAAAAGTATAATTTTTTCAAATGCCTCGAAAATATGTTCCAAAAACTCGTGGACCGGCCTACACTAAAGAAGATCTTGCTGATGCTGTCCCTGATGTGAAAAACCGAAACATCATTTATCGAGCGGCTGTTGCCTACTGCAATGTTCCAATTGCCGACATTTCGGAAAAAATTAATGGGAGACTGACTTCAATTGAAGGAAATCGTGGAAGAAAGAACACTTTCAACCAGGAAACTGAAACCAAGATAGTTGAATAGCTATAGCTCGAGCTAACGCGTACTTATGGAGAAGTTTTGACAAGAAGTCCTGGAAAGGCTATAGTAAGCTCAACATTTTTTTTTTTTTTAAATCTAACCGAAGGAAAAGACGGTACCACAGAAAAGAAAATTAAGGAATTAAAAGATGCCAGAAGAGGAAACTACTAGAAATTGACAAAAGAAAAATCAAATAGAACAAAAGTAGTTCAGACGATGAACAAAATGACCATTTATTACCACATGTTTTAGTTATGGAGACTGATGTGTCGATGAAGATTTTCATTTTGAGGAAGATAAGATTCCGATAACTAAGACACCTATTTCAGAACTAAAATATGGAAGTTTCGCACTTGCATAATTTAAGGGAGGAAAAAGAAACAACTACCTACAAATATGTATGTTCTCTAGGGAATATTGTTGATCATGTAGAACTTATCAAGTGGAAGTAGTAGGACTAAATCATATAGATAATACAAAGAAAAACTTTCAGGTTCAGGTAAGTGATGTAAGTTTTGCTGCAGGAAACCAGATACTGGGGGTATTGCATTTCCCGCGATTAAGATGAAAGGAGAAATAATTTATTATAACTTTGAAAAGGTAGTTCCAGTGTTGGAAAATTAATATTTCTGTTAGTATTTAAGATAGAGTTTTATTTATATTTTTATTATTTTCTTAAGGGTTTAATTCACGAGTTTATAAGTAGTTTTTAAGTTTCTATGTTTGAATAAAAAAGCTAAATCAAAACAAAACACGTTTTTAATTTTATGGGGTAAATGTAAACATTAATTTAAATTATTAATACGCTACAGGCATTATACAAAATTGTACGTACTTTCCTGACTGTGTTTCAATTCCAAATCAAAATCAATTCCTGGGCTTCAGTCATTTATTGCCTATTTATCAATTAAAAGACGTTTCGGTGTTTTCCACCATCATCAGTTTCTATGTGTAGCGTTGTTGCTACTTTAAGCCTTGGCATATGGCCTTGGCCTTGGTAATACATCTACCTCGTTACTTTTATTTTACAATATATAGTAGCACAATACAAGTATTTGATGTTTCCGATTACCTCGAAGTTGTTGGGTAAATGTACCCATTAACAACTTCTTTTGTTTGAATTTTTGTTTCTTTTATGTCAACTCACTGCAATGTAAAGTCACTTTATCAATTTTGTAGGTCAAAAAAAGGATAATGATCTATTTTTTAAGTGATGATAAATTTATTTGTCAAAATCGTTTACTTTTACCCCACTCGACCTTACATGGTAAAAGATAGCTCTTGATACCCGAAACGTACTCCTCGAACTCATCGAACATCGAAAATCCCACAAATATACACATTTTACCTATAAATTTTTAAGAGCTAAGAATTTCCGATAAAACCTAGAGTGAAAGACTGATTGGTAGTCGCTTTCGGTTTCAAGAAATTCATCATTTTTAACGTTAATGCTCTTCAACAAGCAAAAATCTGTTGGCATTGTTAAACTGAGCTTTCGTTGCAGGAAACCCCAAAGCTTCCGTTAGAGAGGCAAAGCTGTGGCATGTGGAAGTGGCCTCCATATGCCTGGTCACTGTAATACTCATAGCGAGCATTCTCTACGTGATCGCGATCAAAACGAAGCCAAAAATCATCCTCAGAGGGAAGGACAACGTGCCCCAAGCCACTCACTGTTAACGTGCTGATTTCGAAATATTGATTGTTGTTATTTAGAGAGTATACTTTCGGCCTGACTCAAAGTGCTAAAGAGCTGGCTGGTCTTTCAGTAGGTACTTAATTGTTGATCATTTTGCTTGTAGATTAAAGTGTTTTTTGTAAATAAGGAGCTTATATTCATTGTGTACTTATATAGCGAATAGGTGCCATAATATATATATATATATTAATAAAGTACTCAGATTTACACAGAGGCGTATCACTTGGGACACTATAACAATCATCAATTTATTTAATGGTCCTAAATGAATTCATTCACTGACCTGGTCCAGACAGGGACTTGTCCATGAACTTCTTCTTTGCAAAGCACAGCCACCACTTGCTGGGCTTGCCATTGTCGCCAAACACTTTCTCGCAAACCCGCAGCCCCACTTCCTGTCTCACTTGCGTGAGATAGGCCTTCATAAAATCAGCTGCCTTCTGATCAGCAGGCTTACTGTATACGGAATTCAAGGGAAAGCCCGCATCTCCTGGTATATCAAATCGCGAAATTGCCAGCGAGTACATCTCGTTTTGGGCCTGGCTCTTGTTGGCGCACTTTTGCAACTTCTTGAGGCACTCGGTAATGTATAGGGTGATGTAGATGAGCAGCCGGTCTGCTTCCGACTTAATCTCGTAGGTGCGGAAGAACACGTTGGCTTTGAAGTAGTAGAGGGCCTCATCGATGATATCCTGCTCAGCGCTCACCTGCTGAGGGGCAGGGCCGCGAAAGCTAGTCCTCAATGGCAATATAGCTGTGTTGCCCACACGCTTCGGGGGTTCCAGGAAGCTGGAATGGTAAGCTGGCATGGCTGGGTCAGTTCTAGACAGATTCCAGTCTAGATTTGATTGATTTGACTACACTCGTTTAGGAGGAATTATTTGGGAGGAAACAGTGAATCACAATGTAGATAACCTCTTGTTGTGTTGTTAGCAAACTGTCTGTGGGATGTCAGAAATGTGGCAACTTGCGTTACCTGCGGGGAAACGAAAATAGCTCATAAAAGCCTTTATTTGCATCAGAACAGTCTCATCCTTTTCTAGTGTGACGAGTAATTGTTGATGGCACTGAACTAGACGACATTTGATAGTTCCAGTCGCCAAAATACGTCCGCAAATTTTCACAAAATTCTAATTTTTAGGGTGATAGAAGGCATATTTGTACTTTAGGCACATGTTGCTAGGGTTTTCAACATTGTCTAGTCAAAATAACGTTATTTTCTGATGCAAATAGTGTGAAACGACGATGCTGCGTTCCTGAACTTAAATCTATTTTGACTGGCATTAATCAGGATAGTGCACAGTTCGGCAACAGTCCAAAACTCCCGTGTTTATTTGGCACTTAACCTCAAACTTTTGACCGGTATAACATTTGAAAATTTCGCTACTCAAATCTCAAGTTGCTTCCAATTTCAATCCTCTAGCACCATGCCTAATGTGGAAATCAAAGCCAAAGTGTCCAATCTCTCTTTACTGCTAGAGCGCGCGGAAAAACTGGCCGGCAGCGAAGCCCTGGTGCTTAAGCAACACGACACCTTCTACTGCACGCAAAAGGGGCGACTGAAGTTACGCCGTTTGCTGGACGTATGTTAACTTTGTCCATTATTGTCAGGGGTTTTTTGAACTTTTTCTAATTTTTCTAATACTTCAGGCAAATGGTGAGGGTGAGCTGATCCACTATAACCGACCAGATACTGAAGGACCCAAACTGTCGCAGTTTGAAAAGGTGACTATCGGCGCTCAGAGTCTCAACGGACTTCACGATGTACTCACCGCAGCCCTGGGGGCTAGAACAGATGTGCGCAAAGTGCGGCGACTGTTTCTGGTTGGCCAAACCAGGGTGCACATCGACCAAGTGGAAGGACTGGGGGATTTTATGGAGCTGGAAGTAAGTAACCCTGAGTACGCATTAATTAGATGAAAAAATACACGTTCCAACAGCTACGCTGTAAAGGTAACAGTGCTTTTTACTATGGGAATTTATGTTTCAGGTGTGCTTGAAAGAGGGACAAACGGTAGAGGAAGCGAAGCAGGTAGCGCAGGGTTTAATGGACAAGTTGGGGATTGAAAAGGAGGACTTGATTAGTGGCGCTTATGCGGACTTTTTGTGAAATAACAAGTAAGTCCTTAAAAAAGTATTAAATCTTACAGTCAAATACCTACCTAATTGTTAGAAGTAAATTCTAAAACTGTTATGGTACCTTTTACTTTAGATTTCTTAGGTTGGTAGTATTGCTTTTAACTTCAATAAAGGTGTAGTTCATGCAGGTATTCTGAGACGGCAACTTGTTTTTCCTTTTGCGCTCTAAGATCTGATGAAATCATAACACTAATTAGGTAGGCAAAACCTTTTCAATAATAGGTTTTGTAAATACAGAGTGGTGTAACCAAGACCGTAGTCCTAGCACCCTGTATCCATATGTCGCAACTGGTTCTCTTACAAATAGCATAATTTTGATATAATGTTTGTTGGGAGTGCGGTAAATAGTTTCCCAAGTATACATACAGGGTGGTTTTTAGTGCGATAGAGTCAATTATTTCCTATGGTGTTGAACTTTCGAAAAATAGTTTCATATAAAAGTTGCTGACGCACAAAGTGCGCACATTTTAAAAACATCTTGTATGATACAGAGTGTCTTAGAAAAGCGAGACAAGATCAAAGTGTATTTTTTTAAAATGGAACTACCCATTTATTATTATTTCATTTGAAATTCTTAAATAAAATAAATTATTATTTGAAAACGGTTGAAAAGCTTAGTGCAAATGCAAATTTGTAACTTTTTAAATTGTCTATCTAATGACGTATTAATATACAGGTATTTCCATTTAAAAAACAAAAGTTATATTGCGTTAAAAAGTTTTAGATTGAAGTCAACATTGTTGACACCCTGTACAACGTATGGATATTTTGGTTCAATAGAATTCTTAACGGATCTGTGGTGATTGGAAGGACGTATTTTTTTGTATCTTTAACCGCTTTTTTTTGCTTCTACAATGAATTTTTAGATACCATGTTTTTAAGAAAAAAATTACTAAAATGGCGATAATCTGCCAACGTCGCAAAAAATAAAAAACAATTTACGGTGCAATTGCAGCATTTCAGGCTGCATTCCATGAGCTGATGAAAAATGGGTAGTTCTATTTAAAAAAATACCCTTTGATCTTACATCGCTTTTCTGAGACACTCTGTATCATATAAGATATTTTTAAAACGTGCGCACTTTGTGCGTCAACAACTTTTATATGAAACTAGTTTTCGAACATTCAAGGCCATCGGAAATAATGGACTCTATCGCACTAAAAAACCACCCTGTATATAGACTCTATTTTCACCTCTAAGTGTCTGTATCTGGTAATGTCTTACTCGCACACCCAATAAACCTCATATCACAATTATCTTTATTTGTAAGAGTTCCATTTAGAAAAGCATAAGTTTGATACTTATGCCTTATGATTTTTGGGAATTTTAATGGATTGCTACTATTGATGCCAATATTTCAAACAAAAATAATTTCAAAATTACACACCAGCTACAAATAATCTTCCAACTCTTCTTGGTTGCACCATACTGTATGAAGTCGCCTCAATCGAATGTATAAAATTAATTTACGGCGGAAGTAAATCTTTATCTTTCGTGGGATAAAGATAGGTACTAAACCTAGTCAAAGTTAAGACAATTATCCAATGAGAAACATGAGCAATTCTTCAGCAATATATATTTTTTACATTTTAATACATTTGATACAATATTAATTTAGCTACTTGGCTACGCTCTAATTAGCTAACATCTAGTTTGTTCGGTTGGATAATTTCGACTAGAAATTACGTCCGTCTTCTACATTCACATTGAACATCAAGTACATTTTGTCTTAAATCCTAGGAGCTTTTCAGCTTACACCTAATTATTCTTTGGTATGTTTCTTACGAGCTAGTGACTAGATTTGACCCCGTTGGAAACCCCCTCACGAGGGTTTGCCAATAAAACGAACAAATCAATGATAAATAACTTAGCATTCAAATAAATAAATAGCTTCTCTATAACTAGTCAACAAAGCAACTTATTAACAGTTAACATTGTTTAAACTTTGACTTTAAGTCCTTATTAGTTACTATATATATATATAGATAGATTTCCTATAGTAAAAGCTTAATGCCACTTGAGGGCATAACAGTTGAAGCAAATAATCTATTATTGTTGAGTACGGTGATATGTCCTAACGGATTTTAAGAATATGTATGATTATCATGTAGTACACTTAAGGGAATGTTTCAGTGCCTTGCGTAGACTTTACAAAGTTCAACATGAATAATGGCTTAAAACATTGAGACAATTGAAAACATTCAGACATTTTCATAATTTTACATATGTACTATACGATCTGTCCAGAAGGAAGGATGAGAGCCAAAATGAGGACTATCTTTAAATGTCACCCGGAAAATATTGTTTTATAGTTTATTGTGAAGGATTAACGCTTTGATTTACTCATCTTGGTTTTCCTTATCCTGGACCTTACACAGGCTGATTCATTAACTGTAGAAAATTCGACAGCTGTAGTATTGGTGATCATTCATCTAAACATAGCTCATCATTCATTTCGCCTTTTGTAAATGAATCAGCCTGTACTTATACCTTAACAAACCTGCCTTATAAATCCGAATTAAATGCGTTTATTTTGCCCGTTTGATGCTTAGTCAAGACATCCTAACTCGAGCTAAGTAGAAAAGCATATTTAGTGACCCACCTAAGAGCATTTCCACGCGCTAAGAGCACAACAGCTTCAACCAAATGCGCGATTGCGCCGAATTCAGTCGCTGTCTGAGCTGGACTCCTCAGCCACTGGGGCCGGTTTCACTTCCGGAGGGGGCGCTGCCGGTTTCGTTACATAGGTGGCTGTCGCGTAAGCGTTGGGCGATTGGCCCTCAGTATGTTCAATTCCCACCCTGAAACCAAACAAGGTGTCTAAGGCTCCACTTGGAGAGCTCAGGGGCGCCCTACCTGTACTCGTGCCTCGCTAAGTATCTGACGTATTTCTCAGGCGGTTCATCTGAGTCGGAGTTCTGGAGGCTTACGCTCCGACAGGTGGTGTGGCTCACTTGAGTAGCAGGCATGGTAAATTCCACGTAACAATATTCGGCTAGTTTCTCAGGCATCTGGTCGTAGCTGGTGAGCGCTATGCGGCACACCATGTTATGGGTGGTATATGCGCCTGAAATGAATCCAATATAGCAAGATGCTTCACTATAAGCTGCAGAAGGCGAAAGTAGACGCCGGAGGCTTCTGAAGCTGGGAGCGTGACTTAAAAATAAAAGGCTAAAAGTGTTACCTTGGCCTTCTTTCGGCAATCTTGGGCAACGCCAGACAATGGCTCGGTGCTGGTGCTCATACTTCGCCTGCCCAGATGTTACTTCAATGAGGCTCTCCTGCAGATTGTCCATCGTGCCCAGAATGCGCTCGATTCCCTTGATTTTGCCAGTCCTAAAGCAATCATTTTTATTGGCAACTTTCTCAGCTCACTTGAAATATTCCATTGTAGTAGTTTCTAGCCTTACCGTCTATGCGCTGACTTGACTGAACCATATCTAAAGTGCTTCTCCACTCGGAACATGTATATCCAGCACTCTGGAATGGGAAAGCGAATCATCACGTCCTCGCAGGGAATCTGACCCAACTTCCTGGATGCAAAACCAGGCACCAGGACGTCCGCCCTCAGTTCTATCTGCAAGGCAATTGGCTCATTTGATTGGTTGGTGATTGATGGGTGATGGCACTTACCCGGGTCCCAGTCACGCAAATCTGCGCCTTCAGTTGCAAGGGAAGCTCGCGGTTCTTCGGGGGACGCACTCTGAAGCGCATCAGCTCAATGTAGCAGGCATCGGGCGGTTTAAACCTGCAAACTCACTGATGTTGAACGGAAACATCTGGAACCTTGAGCTTCTTACTTGATAATGTGGGTGTTTTCGTACTCATCCTGCTGGATGCAGGAGTGAAATTCTACGTTCTCCAGCCGGATCCATTCCTCAGTAACCACAGGGATGATATCGTGCCTGCCGACCACTTCTTTGCCTTGTCGCCGCATGTCGTTTATTCCCAGTTCAATGTCGGGCATCCCGGTAAGGAATCCCAGGAAGAACAGCCGCACTCTAGCTATCTGCTTTTCAACATGTCCTGGAAAGTCTCTGAGGATGAATATTTGTTCAAAAACGCCAATTTGTGATGCCAAAGTGGGACCAAAAACATAAAGTGCGAAAAACATATTGGAAATACTTTAGATCGCTTGCCCCCAGAGTCTCCCGTATACTGTCCAATTTTTTGTAATTATGCGGTTTCCCGGTGGGAGACCCTGTATAATGGGAACCGCAGCTTTTTGGCCCCAAAATGCACTAAAAACGATTGTACCTTCGGCGTTTTGTTCAACATAGAGTTCATCCACTACAGTAACCTGCACCTCCTCCATCTTGTAGTGGAGCGCTCTATCCCGATGCGCCTGCAGAGTGAACAGCGCCTCCTCAATGCACATGGAGAATTGTTTCAGGTCCTCGAAGCTGAGTGACCCCAGCTTCATTAGCTGGGAGACTTGGGGAGCGTGCTCTACTGGCAAGCCCAGTTTCTTCAAGTCGCTGCCAAACTCCTTTACTCCTTGAGGAGAAAGTAATCCTTGATAAGTTGCCTCTGGTGACTTGTCTTTTTCAAACCTTGGTAGTCGCCCTGGATTGCATAGGCTGCAAACTGGCTCAGCTTGTTGGTGATTCTTTCGGCCTTCTTCACCTGCCCAGGCCGCACTCCAGGCCGCTCTTTGTAGAAGATGTATTGAAGCTTGACAGTGAAGATTTTTCCGAACTGATCATACTGTTGCGCCCCGATGTCCGACACCGAATAGCAGGGTTGCAATGGAAGTTCCTGCCCGATAAGAAGTTAGCTGAAATCGGAGGATTTCAATGTTACTTACTTGGAATGGATCCTTGTCGGCCTGCTGATTGAAGAGCTGCAGTAGGACGCAGTCCTGCTGGTAGCAAAGTTTGACGAAAATCTTCTTCCAAAATCGCTGCCCGGTGATTTTCTTCTTGTTGGGCTGGCGCAGTTGCATTTCCCAACCCTCTCCCATGTAGTTTATTCGCGGGAAGTCCTCCAAAGGTTGAGTGGTGTCTTCGTCGTACAATGGGGTGCCTGGCGACTCGTCTTGGGAGGTGGATCTTTTCAGTTCGGTACCTGAAAGCGATATGAGTGTAAGTTTAAGAAACGCGTTGCTGAGGGAGCCAAAGAAGAGGGAAGAATTTAATCAAAATTCCTGATGATCTTCGATAGCTAAATGGACTGGAAGAAGAACAAACAATTGATAGTATTTTCAGTTCCGTTTTTACAAATTTCAGCGGAAGTTTTATAAAAAGCAGCAATAGAACTAAAGTGGAAAAATCTTTACGCTTACCGAACGGAACTGTCGGCTCCTGGGGCGCCACTGGGGTCACATCATTTTGCTGATCGAACGGATTGAAGCGGGGCGACGTGTCAGTGAAGGCGGCCTGTTGCGGAGCTGGGGGCGGCGCCAGCACTGGTGTTACCCCCGAGAAAGCGTTTTCAGTTTTCGGCCTAGAATTAAGTCAAATTAGTCGAGTCTCATACTCCTTAATAAAATATGAAAGCTCTGTGAGTAGTATGTGGCTTGGCCATTCTACTCGACGAAAGCACAATGCAAAGAAATGCAAAACACTTGACTGAACGAGACACTTTTTAAAAAGTGAGTCGTTTGTTCAGCACAGTTAGGTGAGCTGTTCGAATTGAAGGACACATTAACACAACCGATACCTACCTAATAACAACGGAAAAGTCCTTCTCCTCCTCTGAGTCCTGACTCTCGTGTCGCTTTCCGCCCGGAGGCGCCTTCATTGCCAAAAAGGCGTCGAAATCGCCTTCATTGCCAAAGCCATTGCCGCTCTCTTGATCGGGCCCGGTTGCAAAGTCGGCGCCCCACACAGCACCAGCCGGTTGGGGAGGCCCAAACGCGTCAAACGCCCCGCTTTTGTCCTCCTCCGTTTTGACTGACTCGAACTTTTCTGCGAAGGCATCAAAGTCATCATTATGCACCGGGGCGGATAGGTCCCCAAAGTCGAATCCCTCATTGGTAGACTCTGGAATAGGAGTAGGCGCTGGCGCTGGAGTGGTAAAGACTTCCATTCTATCGGGAGACTGTGCGGGTTCTCTGATCTTCGTCACATCCTCAGCAATGGCAAACGGGTTGAAGGTCACACTGGATACTGAGCCTTTGCTCTGGCTGTCGCTGGTGTCCATGTGGAGGTCCGGCTCCGGACTAAGCATGCTGTCTTTGCCGGTCTCTGAGCCCTGATTGGTCGGCGTCTCATCCCCACTGCGATCTAGCAAGTCCCCCGGGTCAACGGCCAGGTTCTCGGTGATTGTCGGCGTGGGGCTTTCGGGTTCGGGAACCGAATCGCACAGCAAGTCGGGCCGCGCCACCTCCTTTTTGGGAGCATTATATAAATTCAGAATGTCCGCTTTGGAGGCCACCTTGGCCTGCGGAGGCGCATCAAACAGGTCGATTATATCGTTCTGTGCGCCGCCACCGTCGAGCACAGTGGGAGGCGGCGGTTTTTGAGGAGGGGCAGGCCTGGGAGGGCGCACGGGCGGCGCTGGCCTTGCTGGCGCCACTTGGGGAGAGGCCGGTCTTGGGGGCGGCCCATTATGGGGGTTCTGGTTGATGTCGTGCCCGGAGCTCAACGACAGCAGGTCCTCCGTACTAGAAGCCCTGCCCTGTTGTTGAGAGTCTCCCACATCGAGCAAGTCGCCAAAGGACGGCTCCGGAGTGGGGCTGGGCGACTGCAAGTCGCGCATCGATACCGGACTGGGCGTCCGGGTAGGAGGAATTTTGTCCAGCAAGTGCGAGCTAGTGGCGTCCATTGCTCCCATCACCGACATCAGCAAATCCTGAGTCTCCTTGCTCTGGGGTGGGCGCGGGGGCAGCGGTCTGCTAGGGACCGCGTTCTGGTAGGAGAACTTTAAGTTTAGATCGGTAGGTTTCTGCGGGGGAACCGAAGTTGCAAACTGGTCATTCAACGACGTGAAAAAGTCCTGATGTGATTCGGCAGGCACTGCGGCTTCGGCCGGCTCCAAGTCTATCGGGTCAAAGGCGAAAGGGTTGGAGGCGGCCACTGCCGTTTGCGATAGGAAGGGGTTGTCTTCGCACGGCTCGTCGTCCATGAGGAACGGGTTCGAGCTCGCCTGCCCATTAGTGGGCTCGTCGTGGAACAGAAAGGGATTGGCTGCCATTGTTGCGCTCGCTTTAGATCAGTTCAGATTCGAGCGATTTCAGCTCCGCCTTGCCTGGCTGGATGTTGCTAGCAAAACTGGTGTCGAACGGATCAAGATCCTCAGTTTCCACGGAAAGCTGGAACGCAGTAGAATCATTTGAATTTGTGAAAGAAAAAGGTGTTTTCTGTTAAAACAGTCCAATTTAAACCAGCCTGTATAATGAACAAATTGCCTTATCGTTGCCGAGAACAACTCAAAAGAATAGGAAGTTCTGAAAGCTGAAGCAGCCTTACCTGTCTAAGCTGCGGACTTAAAGGCTTCTCGATGATAATGTCTCCACTATGCACTAGCAGGTCTTTGTTCTCTGCCTCAACACAAGCGTCAATTAGCTCGTTTTCCAGAAGCTTCAGCTCCGCTTTGCCCGGAAGAATATTGGTTGCAATGGAAGTGTCGAAGGGATCAGCGTAGGACAGCGTTTCTTCAGCTATATGACTGGCGTGGGGCGTCAGCACTTTTGCAGCTATTTGCTCAGATGCGGCTAGCAGATCAGCTGACTCCCGTTTGGACTTTTGCGGTTGTGAAACTGGTTCAACCAGTGGTTCAGGAACTTGAGACAGCTCCTTCTCGATGGCCTTTATCTCCGCCTTACCGGGTGCTAAGCTGGGCACAAAGGTTGTATCAAAGGGGTCTTGATCAACCGCTCCCGGTACGGAGTTCTTGCGTACGTAGAAAGGTGTTAACGGCTTGGCAACCTTCACACCCTCTTCAGCTCCTAGTAAGTCTAGGGAGGGAACCGCAAAGGAGACGGTTTTTGATTGACTGACGTTGAGGACGTCCGGTCTGGATAGCGTTCGAGGTTTGCTTTCGAGCGCGCGAGGATCGAAGTTGTCGTCTTCCTCTGCTCTTTGAGGTAAATCGCCCAGTAACTCTTTCTCTATGTATTTGAGCTCCGCTTGTCCTGGGGCTTTAACAGTCTCTACAATCGAGGTATCGAATGGGTCGCAGTACTTGATTTTGTCGGCGGTTTGGTCTTCAATCGGCAGAATCGGCCCTAGATTGGCTAAGTCGCTGGTGCTGCCTCCAAGTAGATCTCGGTGCACTGGAGTAATAAGCGTCAGTTCGGAGTCTAGAAAATTCAAAAAGACCTGTTTTCTAGAGGAAAAACTGCACTTAGTTGTTCTAAACAATTTTCTGCACAATATTTCCTACATTATCTTTACCTGGAACTCTGGCATTCAACAGAACAGTGCTTTGTAGACTCGCAAAACTGTCGGAAGATCGCGGATCAAAATCAACGTCGTTTTCCAAAATATCCTTTTCGATTAGTCGCAATTCTGCTTTGCCAGGCAGAATATTCTCAGCAAAGGTTGTATCGAACGGGTCGTCCGACTCTGGTCCCAAATCAGCAGTTGCCCTACAAGACCAACGCAATTTATTGTACATCCCCTTGTGGTCCTTTATTGTGCATCCTACTGGGTTTCGAAAGGTTTCCAATCGGCAACAACCTCAGCAACTACAGTGGCTGTAAGTACTGGATGAGACAAGCTGCTTCTGGCCGGAGTTTTCGATAGACTTTCAGCCGCTAACGCTTCAAACTCCTTATCGTCCTCGTCCTCTTCGAAGTCTTTTAACACGGAAGCTCGCGCTGACTGCGCTGAACCTGAAATAACTACACTAGAGGGGCTTTAGCCACATTCCCAATCAAATGACCTGCAGTAGGTTGCGGCGCTGGGGGAATATAAAGGCTTCTGCTTAAATCAATCGGCTCATCAGGCAAAGGGATTTCGTCATCGTCCAGTAGAGTTCTCACTGGTTCACAAGCATGAGCTGGAAGAGGTGTTTTTGAAACTGTTGAGTTAGTTTAACGAAAAAAGCACCTTCAGAAGCGACAACTGACTGTGGGGAAACACTGTCGAAGCTGCCTAGCAGCAGATCGCGCTCCTTCAAAATCTGTCTTCTAGTGGAGGCTGGTTTGGAGGCGCAAGTGGGCAGCTGAACGCGTCCAGTCAGCACCTCAACGGCAGCTCCAAGAGGGACTAGTTTTTTGCCTTTCCTTGTAACAGCTGGACCTAAACACTCGCCCAATAGTCTCAAAAGTTGGTAAATAGATCTCAGAATTACCTAGAATCGCCCTTTCAGCGATACTGGTATCAAACGGGTCATACTCCTCAGGCTTATCAGTGGGGGACTCAGGAATATACGCAAGCTTGACTTCTCCGGTGGTTATTGCATCGATGTATGCGGTGTCGAAGATATCATCGTCCTCTTCTGGCAGCCAAGGAAAGTAAGTGTGTGTTTCAGAGCCCAGATGAATTTTCGTTTAAAGGCTCACCTTCTTCGGACTCAGACTCGGAAACTTGGACGATCCCAAGCTGGGGTTCTTCCTTGGGGGCGGAGCACGCCTGCTCTCTTTCCGCTCGGGCCTGCTCTAGACGCTGCTGTGCCTCTTCTAAGGCCTTCTTTGACTTGGTTTCGCTGCTGGTTGGGATGCGTTGGAAGAAGGAGGTGCTCTGCAACCGCACCCTGGGTCAAGTTCGTCATTGTTGGATGCGAAACTCACCTTGATTCGGTCGAGGTCGTCTTGGGTTTTCTTCAAAATATCATCAACTCCCGAAGTGAGCGACAGGAAGTTTCTCCACTCTTCGTTCTTTGCTGCTGAGTCTTCACTAGCAGCTGCGTGTTCTCTGTGTGGACGAATTCAGTATTGATTGGGGGTAGGTAGTTTTAATCGTAGTTTTTAAAAAGGATTGATTGTCGTCGGCTGCTTTTAAAGTGCAAATTCTTAGGTAAAACAGGGCTAATTCGGGCATGCTTTTGAAAAATTTTAATAGAAAGTTGTTGCCGTAGAAGCGCCGAAATGTCGAACGATACGTTAACATCCCTCTACAGTGATTCCAATGCGGGATTTTTAACATTTGGCTTAAAAAATCAGGAGATCTGAGATTAACTTGTATTTAAGAGTAAATCATAAAGAGGATATTTTGTAGCAAAAGTCATTAAAAGAATCTACTAATCTACTTACCTTCGATAGGCTTCAAGCTCCTCAGGCTTGAAGAGTTCCTCTTCCTTGTGCTTGGACTTTTTGCCTTTCTTTTTCTTTTTTAACCCTTTTGCCAGCTTGTGCATTCTCTAGTCGACTAGGGACATTGAGGCTTCTGGAAAACGAGCATTAGCTTTGATCGGGCAAAGACTTTGGGCATTGTAAAACGCGATTTTCGATCAAACCGAGGTGCTTTTTGCGAGCATGTTTGCAAGGATGGGCAGCAAAGAGACGCGTCGCGGAGCCAAACTACCGACGTTCTTATCGACGCCAGGCGTCGCTGTATTATTGATTTCCTCCAACCCAATGCCCTTATCTACATGTTGGGAAAATTCGCTTTGGAATACGATTATTTAAAATTAGTGCAATCGAGCTACTTGACTGCAAAAGCCTGTTTTCCTGTTACATGTTTTTACTCAGTTTTTGCGAGTTGAGACGCTTGAGTTATCTGGCAGTATTCAAATTTGTACTCACGTTTTCAGCCTCATATCCGCATTGAAACGCCCAGTAATATTCGGAAGGGATGCAGCACCCACTCGTAAGCCCTGCGAGGCGTCAATGGGGCTCCCAAAGCCAGAAATTCACGCACAATTAACGCGAAACTCGCAAAGAAGTGGTAAATGGCCGACCGTGAGGGCTGTGATATCAAGGGTATTGATTTTGCGCAAGGGTATGGATTTTTGCTGCCTTTTAGGGCTGATGCTACGTCACTCTGTGCGTGAAGCGCGAAGTCAGAAAAAGCGCGTATTTCTTACATTATTTTATGTGTTATTTTATTTAGCTTGAAAACTTGGTACTTTCACATAATTTCAAGACTTCCTAATACGAGAGTTGAGTATTATAAAAAGACGATTTCAATTTTTTTCACGCACAATAGCCGTGTTTTAACGGTCAACATTTTGCGTTGCAAAAAACGTTGAACTATCTAATCTAATTAACCCAAACTAATTTGTAAATTTACAGAAAAGTTGGGCGGGTTGAAAACAATGCTCTATATCAGCTTTTTTGACTCAAAAAATTAAGGTTTAAGAAAGTTGAGCGGGTTGATTCAAAAATGCCGCCAATTATCGCTACCCTTTTTTGGGCCTAAATAAAGAAGATGCAGTGAGCTGGAGAAGGACACGGATAATACGAGCAGTTTTTCATTGCGACATTGCCGCATTTAGTATTTATGTCGGGGAATGTTTTTATAAACCGTTTTATCAATCAGCAATTTTCTATCAATTTATTATAATTAAATGATTAAAAATCAGTGCCATCGATGCATTATTTTATATACAGGATGTTGTACGTGCTCCAAAATTATGCCAACTTTACAGTCGATTAAATTTACAGTTTTTGTCTCCTGGAAGTTTTTTATTCAACGCTTCGAGTTCCATGATGAAATCTGCTCGAATGCATATCAAAATGTGTATGACACAGACAAATTTATAGTTTTTTTGAGAAAAAAATTCATAAAATTCTTAAGACAATGCATTTTCATTTGGAATCACTGTGCAGTCAAAGTGTAAAACCGCCTTTCTTTCAGTTGATACAAACGCCCAATGAAAACCTGCTGGGTTTGGCAACGTGAACCGGTCCCTGTATATGACACTGTCACGCAGGAAAACTTATCCGAATAATCAAAGGGTGGAAGTTTTGGGCGTTTTTTTACTATATTTTAGTTAAATGCACCCAGTTTTTGTACATTTCTGCACCGTAATTCCTTCTTTCGTCGCCCAGTCTATAACAAAGTGAGGTGAGCAGTTTTTCCGCTTTGTTTTGAGCCAAACTACCTAAGGGGTGTGTATTGAGCCCACAACCCCTTCAGCGTTTCCGATTTAAACTGTAGGGCTTTCCAGGCGAGTTCGTGACTAACCAATAACCGTTTGCAGCCCAGCTTCGCGATGGCTTGGCGATTTAAGGCTTCAAAGTATAAAAATGCAGCCCCCATTGTGCCGAAGCCTGATACGTACGTTCGCGACATCAGCGTTGGATCGTATCAGACGTACGGTAACAACATTGCTGCTTCAGCTCGTTTTATGGCCTTTAACTGGGATCATGCTGGATCCAGCTTGGCGGTTTTGCCCATCGGTAGGTCGTGACATTGTTTGCTAGATTGGCTAATTGTGGGGTGCGTGTGTTCCAGATGATAGTGGCAGGAAGAGCAAACTAATGCCCTTGTTGCATGCACACACTGACACTGTGACTGATTTGGAGTTTTCTCCGTTCCACGACGGTCTGCTAGCGACAGGCTCGCAGGACTGTTTAGTGAAGATTTGGAACATTCCGCCCGAGGGATTGACTGTGAGTTTTCACTAGCGCACCAGCCCCAATTTTAACTTGGGAGTTTCAGGAACCGCTGACCAACCCAGAGTGCATTTTCTCGCATAAGCAGCGCCGTGTCGAGACTGTTGGGTTTCACCCCACGGCCGACTTTCTCCTGCACTCCACCTCATTCACCACCCTCACTTTGTGGGACCTCATCAGCGAGAAGGAGGGTTTTTCTAATAGTGAGCACGATGAGGTCATCCAGTCGGTCAGCTGGAAGCGCGACGGCACTCTTCTGGCCACTTCTTGCAAGGACAAACAGGTAAGCGCTTGTGCCCGTTGGCTGGAAGCGTTAATACGCCTTTTTTGTGTTTAGGTGAGGATAATTGACCCCAGAGCGCAATCGGTGTGCTTGAATCAGGCCAGCAGCCATCAGAGCATTAAGGACTCGAGGGTTGTTTGGCTCGGGGATCAAGAGAGGATTTTGACCACAGGATTTGACGCCCAACGACTGAGGCAGATTATTATTAGGTAAGGTTTGAGCTTCAATACTCTGCTTTCATGTCGACAAGGATAAAACACTAAACTTAAAATATAAAAACTTAGGGACTTGCGCAACTTCAAGGAGCCCGAAAAGACCATGGAATTGGACTGCTCGACGGGCATTCTCATCCCCCTGTACGACCCTGACACTGGCATGCTGTTCCTGGCAGGGAAAGGTGACTGTTTTCCATCCTCAATCAAACTCCCTTGAAACAAGGTTTATTGTTCAGGGGACACCACCATTGGATACATGGAAGTGACCGACAAGGAGCCCTACTTGATCGAAGGCATTAGACACTCAGGGGAACAAACAAAGGGCGCCTGCCTGGTGCCAAAGCGAGCCTTAAACGTGATGCAAGGCGAAGTGAATCGAGTTCTGCAACTTACGAGCAGCTCGGTAGTGCCCATTACTTATCAGGTGCCTAGGAAGACTTACCGGTAAGTTAGTAAATTATTTTTGGGAAGTATTCCTAAAAAGGGCTCTGCAGTGACTTCCATGCGGACTTGTTCCCGGACACGTGCGGATGGCAGACCGAATTGACTGCCGATCAGTGGTTGGAAGGGATCAACAGAGCTCTGCAGAGAATCAGCTTAGATCCCGGCAAAAGGCCCAAAGGCGAAGAACCGATAATTGCAAGTTGTAAATTTGGGTTTGCAGTTTGAAATTCTCACTCTGGATCATTGACAGGTGTATGGCGGTCCTCTCGCGGAGCTCCGCGAGGAGTTTGAGAAGATCAAAGCCAATCGCGCGGCGCCTACTGTAAAGCTCCAGCTATTGGAGCCAATCACGAGCACCGCTAGAGAAGCGCCAAATAACAGTCCAGGAGACCAAGACTCCAGGTCTAGTCCAGAGGAAGCGGTCAGCGAAAGGGACAAGGTAAGCGAGAATTTTGGACAATCTCCCGCGCAGGTCAGGTGTTTTATTCAACACGCCTCCTCTGGTGTGTCGCCCTTTTAGTGTCACCCTGTCCCTCTTAAGGTTTCACCTCAAGGCGTGGTTCCCCCGAAACCTTTGCCGAGAACATCGCGCGCCAGCTCGGTATGCGAGTCCAGCGATAGTGCGAGTGCGCCCAAGCCAGTGGCTCGGCCTAGGACGAATAGTTGCGCCCCTGTGGTTACTTCTGTCAACCCCAACGGTCCCTTGGGCGGATATAAGGTTATAAATCCTCGGTGTTGCTCCATTGCGTTTGGTTTTTTGCACTTTTTGATTCATTTCGTATAGTGGTGGGAATAATTTGATTGTTTTTATAATTGCGCGCGATTTGTTAGAATCTCGGATTTCATAGTCGAGTTAAAAAGTTATTAACTGTTAACAGGATGCTATCGAAATGCCTCTATCTACATATCTTCGGCCGCCAAAGCGGTGTCTTGGCAAAGATTGAAGAGCGGCATGAATATGGACTTTGGTTTGACTAAAAGCGTTCTTACTTAGCATTGTTTCCACCTGTAACCACTGTTGTTTTACCAACTAAATTTAATTCTTCCCATCACTAATTTAGCGTGTTCAACCTGTTTATGTTATTATTTTTCGCTTTGGTTTTGCACTTTGCCTAGCAAATACGTTTGACTGGATCCCTGAGTTGCTAGTAGGAGAAGCTCTAGTAATAATGCGTTTATTTAATTGGTTTTTCGTTTTGCTGTATAGCCGAGGCTGGGCCCCAAACCGTTCACACCTCCAAAGCTCAACGATACCGAAAACACCTTCAGCAAGGTGTTCGCTGTGCCTCAAGCGCCTGGCGTTGCGTCCTCCAACGGACATAGCAGGTTGGTTAAAATCCTTCGCTATATTAGTTTGCCTAAATCAAACTGTCTTAAAGCGAGCTTGTGGATACCACGTCGGACAAGGAGAAAAGCCCAACCAGTGACATGGAAACCACTCAGCTGAAGCAGGACAACGAGAATGGAAAATCGGGCTCGAGTGGAGAGGAAGAGACGTCCTGCGACTCAGGTGTGTAATTCCTTAACTTTCGACCAGCCGCCAAGTTAACATAGGGGTTGTTAAGGATATATCCCGAAAACGCCAAGCACTGCGGAGCGGCGAAAACTCTTTGAGACTCGCTCCAGCTCCAAGGAGAACGAGCTTGACGACAACATCGACGCCGTTGATCAGCCGGGCAGTTTCGAAAGAAACTCGGCGCAAAGGAACAGTATTGCTGAGAGAAGGAAGCTGTATGAAAGGTAAGTGCTATATATTTATTTGCGGGCTTATTTCTGCTAAAACCATAAGAGAGTTGGTTTTGCCTTTGTGAGTTTCTAGAGCTTTATATATTTGTTTAATTCATCTGAAGCATAATAGCGCTAACTGTAAGACGCTGGTTTTCATATTGTCTTATTGTTTTAGATCGCAGTCTCAACAGGACCCGCCGCCTGTTATAATTGAAAAAAGCGTCTCGTCTCCTGTGATGCTTCGTAGGAAGGACTCCTTCAAAGGTCACCAGAAGAGCGACGATGTGCTGAAGGACGACAACAATAGGTTAGTAGATTTCGGGGCATTTGTGGGGGTTTTTAATCAGCACTTTGGGGTTCTAGGAGAAGCGTCCCGGTGTCCAAACAGCAGTCTCTAGACGGACAAGGTTTGAAGAGGGCCGAAGCTGTAGCGGCGCCGAAGAGAACGTCCACTGTTTTTGGTTAGATTTTGATTGTTGCTTATGTGCGATGTTATTTTATTTATTTATTTTAACAGGACGGGTGTCGAAGTTCAGGCATTTGAAGGGTACTACTGCGCACAAGAGTTGTCACATAGAGAATATCCGCAACTTGAGCAGGCAGATACCGGGCGAATGTGACGGATTTCATGGTAAAATATTAGTTTTCGTTTTCTGTTACTAGAATATTAGGGCTGATTTGGGAACATGAATACTCTTTTAAACTTTTCCTGTCAGCGTCTTTACTTTTCTGAGAGTATAGACATGGATTGGTCTATATGTATTAATGTAAATTGCATCTCTTGCAAACGGTTATTAACATATTTTAAATATAATTTTAAGAAGTAAACCTCATCTAAAGATTAATTAGGGCACGGTTTACTAACATTATGACGAATTTTTCCAACAGCTTTCTCACTAACAACACCCTTCACAACCTTTATAATAAAACTAAATAATTCCTGAAACATAATGAAGATGTTCTAATAACAAAAGCAGACGCAGGAAGTGTTGCAGTCTCATGGGTCAAACCCAATACAAGATGTGTTTTCTTTACAGCCAATCCGAAGCGAGTGGCGGTGCCTCTTAGCGGCCCTGGCGGTAAAATCGCTATCTTTGAGCTGAGCAAAACCGGTAAGTCTTAAAGAATTAGGGCGGATGTTGTTTTACCATGACCCTCCATTAAAAGGTAAGCTGCCAGATGGTGTAATTCCCACTTTGGTGCATGGCAGCAACATTATGGACTTCCAATGGGATCCTTTTGATAGTGATCGTTTGGCGGTGGCTTGCGATGACGGAGTCGTGAAACTCTGGAGAATTCCAGATAATGGGCTGCTGGAGCCCACAAATGAACCCGAGCGGGAGTTTAACGCACACAGTGACAAGATTTACTTCCTCCGGTTCCATCCGACCGCCAAAGACGTTCTGGCGTCGGGTAAGACTAATTTTCTCTATTTTTAAGCCTCCACCTTTATCAACTGTTTTTTTAGGCTCCTATGATATGACGATAAAACTGTGGGATTTGACCACAATGTCCGAGCAAATCACTCTAAAGGGGCACACCGATCAGATTTTCAGCTTTTCATGGGCCCCGTGTGGAACGCAGTGTGCCACTGTGTGCAAGGATGGCAAGCTGCGGGTTTTTCAGCCCAGAAAAAGCGATGGCCCCATCAGGGAGGGCAAAGGACCAGAAGGAAACCGCGGAGCTCGCATTGTTTGGGCGCTGGATGGTCGCTATATAGTCACGATGGGATTCGACAAGGTCTCAGAAAGGCAAATCACGATCTACAAGGCCAGCGATTTGAGCAAGCCTTTGAACACGGTTGGATTGGACGTTTCGCCTGCTATTCTGATACCCTTCTACGATGAAGACAGTTCAACGCTGTTTTGCACCGGCAAGGTAAGTACAATGTTGTTAAAAATAGGTTTTGAGTCTAATGTTAATTTTTTCAATGTAATTTTTTTAGGGTGATTTAACCATCTATGCATTTGAAATTACGGAAGAACACCCCTTTATCTGTCCACTCAGTCATCATCGGTGCAACTCGCTGCATCAGGGCCTCTCGTTCCTGCCGAAGAACGTTTGCGATGTGCAAAATGTGGAGTTCGCCAAAGCCTATCGGTTGACAAACAATTCAATCGAGCCTTTGAGCTTCACAGTGCCCCGAATTAAAACCGAATTGTTCCAGGATGATCTGTTTCCTCCCACACGAGTAAATAGAATATAGTATTGTAGATCGTATTCTATTTTCAATGTCTTTCTTGACTAGGTGACATGGACTCCCATGTACTCTAGTGAGGAATGGTTTTCTGGCAAGGACAAGCCAGTTGGTAGAATTAGCTTGAAACCCGATGGAATGGAGACTTGTAAGTTTGCACTTGATTGATTGAGAAGAGGGTGGTTTCATTGGGGTTTTCAGTGTCGGAAAATCAACCCAATCAGGAGAATCGCGTGATCAATAAGTCAGCCTCTAGTCCCTTTATCGGCACCTCGAAGCCCTTCAATAAGATGACCTGGAACCCTGAATTGTCTGCGCAAACTAAAAGCAAACAAGAAGAGGTAAGGCTCGAAATCAATCAAGTAGAAGTTGCCTAAAATTAATATTTTTTCCCCGTAGATTAAACAATCAGTGAGTAACAGGCTGGAAGTGAATCTGAAGTTGGAGCAAGATGATATGGAGGGCGTAGACGAAAAGGAGTGGAATGAATAAACCGCTTGTTTCTGTCCTATTTTAAGTTTATGTGATTTTCTTGACAGTAACGCAAGCGAAATTGTTTGCATTCTAGAAACTTCAAGCGCTACAATTGACGCTTCATTTTTTATTTTTTGTCTTATGTGCAATCAGGCATCATTTTACTTGGATTTAACGATAAGGACGCGCAAACACTCCCCAATATGCTACAGTGTATTCGACTAAAATACGGCAATAAGCTAAACTAGGTAAGGTTACTGAACCTCTTGTGCTTTGAATATCCGCCACCTCAGGCAAGTGCCATTTTTTCGTATATTTTAGCCAAACGTTTGTTTTTTTACTCTTTCGATAGCATAGTGAACCTGTGAAGGATCTCTTGAAAATGTGCTCACTGCCATTTCGCATTCCGAATAGTCTGTCCCGGACATTCCATGGTAAGTGTGCCAAAATGTCTCTTTCCAAAAAAAATGGCTCTCTTAAGCTCAAAAATACTCGTCGTATTTTGATACCCACATCTTAACTCATTAAGTAAGTGATGTAATCTGCGTTTTTTACACAATTTTTTGTAATTTATTTTATATATATATATTATACGTGTATTGATTTTTATATTTATTGATGATATATATTAAGCGTTTGAGTAGTGTAGTTTCTTACAATGATAAATATCACAGTATCCGATGTAAAAAAGACATTTTATTTAACTATACATTGAACAAAAATGTATTAAAATTGTGTATAAATGCAAGGGTGATTGGAAAGAAGTGAGGCGATATAATTTCACCGTCGTACCATTGGGGCACTTCTTCGCAATCACCCGCTATGGTGTCACATAAAGCCCTTATCTGTCTGCTGCATCAACAAATCTGAGCCTCGGATAACATCAGACAAAGTTCTGATTACACCGGCCAACCCAAACTAACTGTTAAATTATTTATATATAGATAATATGGAAAGGTTCCTTAGCGGCCGCCCACTCTGTCTCTGGGAATGAGCCTCAGTTCTGAGCCGTGCTTCAGAAACACGTTGCCTGTCAACAAGTGAAATCTAAGTGCTTTAGGAGTGACAGGTTTTAGGAAGAATGCAAACCTGCAGTTTGTTGGGGATTGATTCCCACACCATCATCAGTGATGATTGCTGATGTGGCCGGAGGCACTTTGAATTCTTCAGCGGCAAACTTCAATACTGCGGTAAAAGGTGTGGGCTCAGGGACGCTCAGCCTGGAAAGTTAGGCCTTATTTACACACTTAAACTACACGGGAAATGTCTTTAGCGATCTCAAGCCACAAGTCGGCGTTGGAGAACTCTTGAGCGCGCTCCAATTTGGCAAATATCAGATGCTTAGAGTCCTGATGGGAACAAAGGGCTGTTAAAAGGGTCACTAATTCCTTATAGGAAATTTCGTGGCAGTATGACACTGAAGAACTGGTAGTCCAGGACTGGAGCTGTTTGATCATCAAACTGCCAAAGTATTCGATGAAGTTCAGCAGGGATTCCAGCAGAGTTGGGAAATTGATGCAAGCTTGCCCCAAGTGAAGCAAGTTCACTTTCTTAAAGAGGGCGAGCCAGAAGAACTTGGACATGAGGCTGCGGTCGCACATCTGCTTCAGAAGACATTCCAAGATGCAGTCTGAGACAAACTTGTGTCTTTGCAGAACTTCGGTGTTTAACGCCAGAATGCTGACCAACCTCGGGAGTTTTTCCTCGACGTTATACAAAGACAGGTAAGTCTCGATTTCGGATTTGAAGTTCTTATTTTGAACCCAATGTTCCACTATCAGAAGACTCTCGAGATGGTCAGGGTCAGGCACTGACGCGCTCACAAATTCCGCGATTGTTCTCATGGAACTGGCACTCAGAATGCATTCTCTGAGACACTTCTGAAACCTCTCATGCGGGTAGAGGGAAGTGTAAACCCTCACTCCTATATCCAAAGTAGTTTCCGTCGCTGCAGGACTCTTGAAGAGCTTGGTCAGCAAATGATCACTCGCCAACTCGTAGAAATCTTTCTTGCATACCCGGTTAATATCACAAACATAAAGAAGGGCCAAAAACTGTTGGAAAAAGCCCTTTTCCTTGAAAGTTGCGACGCTTTTCTCCACGAAATGTCCCAATTTGAAGGCCGATTTTATATCCTCACTGCTAGCCTGTTTGCACCAGGCCGGGTCTTGATACAAAGTCCGGAACCTTTGAAAGGCCTTTAAGGCTTGCGTTACTTGAGGAGAACCAGATTCGTTCATTGTGTTCTGGTCTCATGATGATAGGTTCCCTCAGTGAGCAGTCGCTATCTGTTAACAAAAAAACTTGCTACTGATCACTGAGAAAACCTATTGCGGAAAGTTGTTGCGTACTTACACTTTGAAGGGCAGCTTCGGATCGGAGGTGAGAGTGATTTTGAAGGTAACTTTCGACCTGCAAAGCACTGAGAGTTAGTTTGTGGGGCTTTACAAACTGGCAATATGCTAGCGAATTTAAGGGGTTTTGATACTTACGCCATTGGTTTGCCTTTGGGAAATAGAACACTGGTTTAAAAGCTTTAAGAAAAATCGATGAGAGCAGATGTTTTATTATTAGAAGTTTTTGTTGTGAAAAGCTACGTGTTTGGTTTTGGCAGTTTTCCTAACCTAAGTTATTGTAGCCTTCACCATTTCACTTTCATCGCCGTGAGTACGACGCCCTTGCAAAATTATTAACCGAAAATAATCAAAATACCATACGACCTGCAAAATATAGATTTGGCAATAGCGCAAAATTATTCGAACTGAATTGCCGTGACAACGGTGTAACAGCCACGTAGGCGTCATGGCGTCCTTTGTGATACAGTAACCCCCGGTTGCACCGTTCTCGCTTTAAACACTGATTTGCTATACACTGATTATATCTTAACCGGTGTTTAAAAAAAAATGCATTGCACCGTCGCAAACTAATCGTCTGTTAGTTAATCAGAGAATCACTATGGCACCTCCGCTTTTTTGGCTTAGGTTGCTCTTTCGCAGCAACGCGGCCAGTAATATATTGGTTATGTTATATTTTATTGTGTACTCCTTGTCTTCATGTATGTGTACTACTGACTTATAATATATACAGGGTGATTCAAAATTGGCGTCATTCCTCTGGAGGTGTTGTCTGGCGCTGTTATAGGAGTACAGAAAAAATAGTAAAAGAAATTAAGTGTTATTAAAAACTGAGAATTTTGCAAAAAACTGTATCAGAAATACGGCAGCAATGTTTTTCAAGGTAATCTGGCTAATTAACATTGCGCAAATACCTGTTGCTTCGTAATTATTTAAAACTCCGGTAA